AAAAATGATTACCTCAAAGTAAAAAAAATGTACTTGTACCCCTTGGCTTCTAGGGTCCTCAATTTATTTTTGGATACATGTGATAGCGTAAGAGAATGTTCAATTTTAGAAGAGGGTTGTCTGCTTTTATGTTTTTTAATCTTAAATGCCATTTTTTCCCTATGTTTACAAAAAAGCAATTAAACAGTTTTCCATAGACCACACGACATGGTCTGTGACAGTTTTCTATATCTTTTTTACCTTTTAATTTTATTTTTATCTATTTTATATTTCAAAAGTAAATGTATTAATTTAGTTTGCCAGACCTTCCTGAAGTTTTTGTTTGCCCCCTGTATTTTGTTTTCATAGTTATTTAATTTGTTTTGATACTGTTTAATAAACAGTATTTATACAATTATCCAATGTTTAATTTTTCGTTTTTTAAAATATACTTTTTTTTAAAGCGTATGACAATTTTCATATTATAATTACGCATAAGCATATATATAAACTCTTAATTTTTTTACGCAGTTCAAAAGTTAAATTATTACACACCGCCGTAAAATAATAAAAATACACAGCAAAAGTGGTTCCATCTATCGCGTTAAGCATAAAATCAGCAAAGAAAATGTAAAATTACAGGTCACTGTAGAATAAATTTTTGTACATAACCTATAATATAACATATTTCAAAGGTCAAACCTGAAAAAAAATTAAAAAAATTTGATAGTTTCAATGTAAGTTACAGCCCCAATTGGAACTCACCAAGGCCCAATTGATAAAAGAAATGGAATTATTTTTTAATGGGGGTAAACGTGGGTACAATGTGCCTACGAATTCTTGAAAACCATTCCTCCAACTAGTGTAAAGTCCGAAAGATATCGTTCGTTAGTTTGTTTGTTCCTTTATTTTAAATTGGTTTTAAAATTAATGATATATATTTTTTCGGGACTGATCCCGGGATTAGTTACCTTTGGTCCCGAAAGGCCCGGGATTGGAAAAAGGGCTCGGGATTGACACACCTATCCAGTACTGCATATTTAATTATACAAGGGGTTCTTTTGATATTTTTAGTTCTATTTTTTATAAATCTATCTATTTGAACAGTTACAGTGACAAGTTAATTAATAGCACATATTTTAAGAAAATTAAATAGTTTTGTAGGTACATTTTGGTAATTTTTTTAAATTTGAATGAAATACTTTTTTTAGTTTTAATGCTATTAAAATGATTTACCTATTCCCCTTTACAAAAATGAGTATCTTCAATCGGTCTATAATTTAAAAGTGGGCCTAGGACTAATTGGGGTAGGTTATTTATGGACTAGGCCGTAAATACAGGGTTTCAGTGACACCGTGTCACTAAATAAGTTGTTGGGATGATAGTACACGCCAAAATAAGAACGTTTTTCGTATCATTTTTACATTAGTGCCATATTTTTTAATAAAAAAATCATTAAAATTTTAATAAGTAAAGTAGAAATTTTGGGCCGCCACTGGTTGTTCCTGACCTACGACAACTGACGCAAAATATGCCTGCACAGTGAGCTCATGTAGCTATTTTTTTTAAGTGTTCCACAAAATCATAATAACCGAACATTCAGTAATCGATAATAACAAAGTCCTCATTAAACGATTTTAAATAAGTTTAAAAGTTTGGTTGATATTACATAAATCTATGTTTTACATGAATGTCGCCCACATGTTTCTTTTTTGCTTGGGTAAATAATATTATTGTTTTTAGAGGTAAAAACACTGATGATATATAGGTTAGGTCAGTGACATTCAGTGGCTCCCTAGTTTTGTCAAAAAAAAAAAAATTTATTGAAAAAATGATAGAGGAAAAACTTTCTTGTTTTGGTATCCCCCCAAAGGATGACAATTTATTAGGTGACCTGAATACTAACCCAATCAGTCCAAACTTTGAGCTCAGCACAAAATGACTTAAAAAATGTATTTATAGCAGTATCGCTCGTTCCCTCGCTTAAAGCAGTCTCTCAGAGTATGGGACTTCTACAGAAACTGATAAGTAGATTTAATTAATCGCATGACCAATTGCAATTGCAACACATAAGTAAATAGGTAATTCAGTCCTCCTAAAGGTACGCTAGAATCTAAACCAAAAAGTATTCAAGCACGTTCAAGCTAAGTTGAATTTTCCACAAAGTTCGAACGGCAACACTTTGGTACTGAAGTCAAGAAACGGTTTTCGCACAGTGACAACAATTTTTGCACACCGGTTTCCGAATTTTTAGCAGACACTGAACCAGGCGAAGTACCTCAAGAAGCAAGTTAGGCCCCTACAGTGTATTAACCAACCCAGCCCCATTCATAAACCCCAATTGAATGTGGGTGTTACTAAATTCCTGGTTGAGGGGAATTCCGGATTGAACTTAGTTTTGGGTAAGTCTATCGTCCTCTGAAAACCAAAATGTTTTCCCTCCTTGTCCCAAACTTCACTAGGGCTAATCAGGAGTACAGCCCGGCCCGGCGACAAAATTCCGGGGGGTCTTAACCATCAACACTGTCATCCACGATCTCCCAATGGAGTTTTACCTGGTGGGGATTAAACTTTGTAGCCATCAAACATAGGTAATGCTGGGCAGTTGCGGGATACGTAGGAGAACCTAAAGTAGGTAAAATTAACTCTGGGAGATCAGTAGTGTATGATGACGCTGAAGGGGCCAGCCAGGCCCGTTCCTGGGGTGTCTGGCGCCTATGTGCAGCATTCTTTGATGCGCCCCTTTTATATTTAAATATAATACATTAAATATTTTAATTTTAAGCCTTAAAATTTAAAAATAAATATATGGTTTTGGATGGACAAACCATATTACAAATTTATTATAATCATTATTTTATGTTTATCATTCCAATATACATATTTCTATCTAACTTTAGAATACTTTATTTTGTACAGTTTATCATATTTTATTTATTTGATAAATTGATATTTATTATTTAATATGTTGAGACTTTGTTTCAATTTCTGCACAACAAATTTTCTTTGAAGGGGTCGAGCCCATTAATTATCAATCAACCCATTTTTACAATGAATGTCACTTTTTGTGACATTCAGGCCAAGTTACTAACATGAGTCGTTAACGTTAGCCACTAGATTTAGTGGTTATCGTTATATTTAAACGGCCTGATTGGTAGGATTGGCCGATAACCACTGATTCTAGTGGCTAACGTTAACGACTTATGTTAGTGAATTGGCCTGATTGTCTTATTTTATTATTATTGATACTCATTTTATTTTGCTAGATTTGCACTGACATATTTTTATTACTTTATTATACCTGATCGTATTTCTTATTTATGACTGTACAATTAAATTGCATTACCGTTGTCCATTTACCATTTTAACACTTGTTATTTAAATATTTTATTTACCACTACCATTTATTATTGTTGTTTGTGACCCAAGTTATATTATACTTTGTTTCACACTATTGTTGTTTGGTGCTGTACATTGATATGGTTATAATTTTAATTATTTCAATTTGTATTTGCTTTTCTAAACTCTCCGAGTCTATCATTTATGTAGGTAAATAATCTTAGCAATATGATAATATAATTGATTATATTCATATTGATATTTTGATTTTGTTGTATTATTTCTGTTGTTGAGATGTGCGACACATATGCATGTCTGGATTGTATATGTGGGTTTTTAAGATTTTATCTTCAAATATAAATGTTTTTTATTTATATTATTAATTTACAGTAGCAATAACTTTTGTATTAATTGCCTTTATTAATAAACTTCTTTTTAATTTAATATTTTTTTCTTTGCTTTTTAAATAATTTTTCAATTGCTCAAGTATACTTACGTATCCAGAACCGTATTCAGAACAAAAAGGGGTCCTAAATTAATTTCTTTAAACCAGACGATCACGTGTTTTTGGCCAAAGGTAGTTTTTTGTGGTTTTCATATTCTTTTCTAATTATTAACGTGTGTCCCCCTAGCCTCGTTCATTACAACTTGATACTGCAAATTGCCATATATGGGTCTTTTATGGTAAAATATACAAATATTAGCCTGAAAAGGGCCATTTTAAAACCGTATCATGACAGCCTTTTATCAAAATTAATATTTTTATTAAAAAATTCCTGTAAAGGCCCAGTAAAAGGAAAGCTTTGGCTAAAAATGCCATTATTAAGCCATGAAACCATAGTTATATTTATAAACTATAGTTATATATGTAATGGGCCATTACATATTTAGACTTATGTGTTTGCTGGGGCACTGTTAAACTTACCATCAACTGCAACTATCAAACAAATCGTCACCCTAATATAACAAGGTTGTATGTTAAAAAAAACGAAAAATTTAAGTCTATGTTTCTACAGGATTATACATAGCCTACGCTTCACATACCACTTAAAAATAATTCTATAGAATGTATATTCTATGTATACACATATATAGAGTTATTTTCAAGTTGTATGTCAAGGGTGGATTACATAAAACCTTGTAGAAGCATAAACTCAAATTTTTTGGTTTTTTAACATACAACCTTGTTATATTAGGGTGACGAAATATCAAAAATATTATGATTTCTCTCCTTTTATTTTGATACTCATATCAAAAACCCGGCAATATCAAAGCGCAAAAGGCACTTTATAGCGTAAGTTTTATCCTATGTATGTTTAAGTATTTGTTTATTTGCAAGAAAGTTTATCGTTACAAAGTACTGATTAACCCTTTGATTTTGCGCCCCCAAAATGTTGCGCCTGCGTGCATGCACGCACTACACGCTCGCCAGAAACGGCCCTGGGGCCAGCTATACATTTCTTATACTCATACTAATGACAAAAATGTATGTATAAAACCCTTTAAAATTTAAGTTTCGTGGACTAAATTATTAAACAATTCTTTTATTACAAAATTAATTTAAAGTTTATTAATATATAATTTATAAATCAATAAATAAAAATTGATTAAAAAACAATTTGTTTTAAGCCACAATTAACATTATTTTCTTGATATTTTCAAAATAAAAAATATATACTTACACACGTGTTCGAATTAAACTTATTGGTGCTATCATATTTAAAGAAAACTAATAAAATAACACGATATAAAAATATAAACTCTCTGACATAAACATAACCTCTTAATCATATAACCAATATACTGCAAATATATAAGGTAGTGTCTCTACGTCCGTCCGACGGTCGAGCACACACTTTTCTACGTCCGTCCGACGGTCGGGGAGACACTACCAATATATAATAGGTGCTTTCCTTTTGCCACGATTCCTAGATATTCTTACCTCACCTTGGTTTATCTGGGTACGCTTCGTGACACCCAAACACGAGAGATCTAAACTCGATGGGTCTAAAATTTAAAAGCGCGGTGGGTCTAAAATGTGTGGCAACGTTGTTTTTGAAACGTCAAAGGCGTAAGGCTTCGTTCACATTTTTCATAAAAAATCGTATTTTCTTAAATGAGATTCACCTACTTTCGTTCAAACAAGATTTCGGTCAAAGAAAAGTAGGTACTTCTGAAACAGATATGCAAAATTAAAAATTGTGGTGGAAAAGGTCATTCACAGTATTCTACTTTTTTACGTTTTCTACCAGAGACCCTTGTCTCTGTTTTCTACCGTCGAAAACGTCGAAAAAGGTTTTCTACATGTCGAAAACAAAAATGTAGGTAGAGGGGAGCAACTCGTGAGGTCTAAACCGACCGAAAATTTACATTTCATTTAAGAAAAATGTGAACCAAACCTTATTTGAAGTGCGACGTTGCCACACATTTTAGACCCACCGCGCTTTTAAATTTTAGACCCATCGAGTTTAGATTTCTCGTGTTTGGGTGTCACGAGCTGCTCCCGGTTTTTATCTCACTTTAGAGACCGTTCCATTTGCAAAATGACAGGTAAGCCAAAGTGAGAATTTTACCTCCCCCCTTCCGATCAAGCACAACCTCCGGAGCACACTTACAAATGAGAAATTTTGATTACTTGGTGGTGGGGATAGATGCACGCCAAAAAGTGAGGTTGTACACTTTCTATCAAACAAAACAGAAGAAAATTAAAATATTAGTGATGGGCATAATCGCATACTTTCATTCGGATTTCAATATCGGAATAATTTAATCGAATTGATAATTCGAATGAAAGTATGCGATTAATAATCGCCGTTTATTTTCGAATTAAGTAATCCGCGATTATTAATCGCATATTTTCATTCGGATTTCAAATTGAATGATTCATTCGGCGACTAGAATACCCACAATTGTAGGTATGACTATTTAAATAGTAATTTACGATTACGATGATACGATACGATTAAACTAGTATTTTCAGAATCGCTGCTGAATATTACATTCTATAAAATTAAAGAATAAAAAAAAGGTATTTATTATTGTTTAAATTGGATTTATATTTTTAACTACCTGTATTATTTGATTCGACATTTTGTTCGTTAAGTCTTTAATCTTTGCGTTAAACCGTTGAGGGAAATGGTTAAACCACAGAACATAAAGCCTGAATTCAGATTGCCTTCCTTCCTTCCTTCCTTCCTCCCGTAGAAGATGAACATTACGTAATTGTCACCATTAACATTTCCCGTTTAGGTATTTTTAATACTTTGTGATAAAATTTTGCAATTATAGTAATAAAAAAAATCAAAGAATAAAATATTTTCTTAACAAAATCATATTTTTAAGTAATTTTAATATTTTAAGTAATTTTAATATTTTAAATCAATATCAATAATTGTTAAGTTTAATTAAAATTAATAATGGGCAATGTTAATGGTGACAATTACGTCAAAAATGTTTATTTAAATCGTATTGCCAGTTATAGATTCCCGTACCGTACGGGCACGACTACGGGAGGAAGGAAGGAAGGCAATCTATAATTCAGGCTTAAGGGTTAAACTGTCAAGTGTCACTTTTAGAGAAAATAGGCTTACCAACCGTTCCTTTGGTCTATTTTAGGTAAGATGAGTGCGCGTAAGTGGCCTCGCTTATCTCACTTTTGCTTGGCTCACTTCAAAAATGAAAGGAAAGCACCTAATGTAACCAACAAGTAATTAAAATTTCCCCTATAAACATAAACATAACGCTGTGTCTAGTCTCACGCTAGCGTGAACGCAATTTTATTTTTATTCTCACGCTAACGTAAACGCAATTTAATTTTTATTCTCATGCTAAAGTCAAAATAATTTTAATTTTATTATCACGTTAACTTCGTATATACAAATACAGATTAAAGCCTTTTGGTTTTTGGTTAAACCTAAGGGCCTAAGGGCCAACTTTGCCCAGGGGCGGTTTTAAGCCGAGTTCATATAGATGCGAATTTGCGAATTTACGAATTTGCGAAATACGAATATTCGCATTTCGCAGCTCCTATTCATATAGATGCGAATTGTCGGAACCATTTTAGGGACATTGTTTTCTCACTATGCGATATTTGCCATGGTATTTTAGGGATATTATTTTCTCTGAGGTGATATTTGCCATACTTGGTTAACATTTTCTATAGGTAGGACCTGGTAGGTACTTAAATAGTAAAGTTACTTCTAAAAAAATATGCTACTATAAGGTAAAATAAGAAACTAATGTACCTCCAAAAACTCTTTGTCCATTATAAAGAACAAAAAACAACTTTAGCAAGAAACATTTCAAATAAAACTCAACAACGATGCAATACAAATGAAATAAACACAGAACATAAACAAAAATGGCGCGGGTACATATAACAAATACGTATAATAGGCATCTGCATTAATGCGCATGCGCATCACGCCAAATTCGTGCGATTTTCGCAAAATATTGGATCAATCTCAAGATTCCCGCCCCCCAGATTTCAAATCTTGCGAATTCGCAGAATCTGTCGAAACGTCGAAACACTTTTCCCGCCAAATCAAATGGACCAATGAAAACATTTTCGCATTTCGCAAATTCGCATGTCGCATCTATATGAACCAGGCTTAACAACAAACATAACTTATCCATTATTTTGTTAGGTCATGTCGACATAAACAAATATTTGAACCACAGAATACCGCGTTTTAGCGAAACTTAACCGCTACGTCATTCAGCGGATGACGACACAATTTTTAAGTGGGGGACATACCAACCGTAACCAGCAAGGTTAGTCGCTACAAATAGCTTAATGTTTGAACCAGAGAAATTCTCTGGTTTGAACCATTTATTTGGCAAAGTCTACTGCGCCGCCGGTGTGGTTTTAAACTTTGAATAAAAAACCTAGCTGAGGTTTTGTTATGTATTTTATTATAAAATAAAATTTTTATATCATATAAATTATATGGTTATTTTCTTTGAATAAAAAAACTAAGGAAATGATAGAAAATAGCTGACACCATACGCGGCGGCAGTGCTGAAATAAAATTTAAAAAACGACGCGGGCGGCGGAGTAGACACTTTGCATTTATTTTGAACATTGGTGGCCCTGACTGTTAGAAACTTTTAAAATCCTAACCTATTTTATGTTCTATGTTTAATTATTTTATTTCTTTAGTTCTTAATTTGTGATGTGTTAAAATGTATACTCCTGAAAAGACAAAAAGTAACAGTAAGTTAACTTTTTTATATTTTGTATTATAGTTATTGATAAAATACATTTAAGATTTAAATTTAGAGAACATAGAAAATGAACCAATACTTAATAAGAATAGGACAAAACGAACTATTAGAAACAAGAGATTTGCAGCATTATCGTTAAAAAGTGGTAAATATTTGTGCTTATGTATATTTCATAGTTTTCAAGTAATAGTTGTAGTAAGTTCCTCTAGTAGTGGCTTGAGCTTGCTTGAAAATGAAGACCCAAATGAAAAACCAATTAAACGGCCTAATCCTTATGATATTAAGAATAAAAATGAGAAAAAACCTAGGATTACAAATAACCTCAATAAAGATTCTGAATCATTAACTCAAGGCTTCTTTAATAGTTCCCAAGATTTATTTGAATGTCCAGATTTAACACAACAATTAATAGTTAATTCCAAAAGACAGGATCACAAACAATTACCTATAGATATTTCAGGAGTAGGTGTTTTACAGGATACATTGGATTTTATTAATATTAATACTCAATTAATAGAAGCAGAGAATTGTTCAAAGAATAATTTAAATAATAATAAAAGTGATACTATTATTAAACCCAATATATGCAATAAAAAATCGTTTGATGCCTTTAGAGAATGTTTAAAAGATACAAAAGATATTATGCCAGTCGCTGAATCTAAAAATATAAATGAAATAAACAGTTTAAATGATTTTTCACAATTATTTAGGGATACTCAGGTTTTAAAAAGTATTGATTTAGCAGATAAACCTGAAGAAAATGAGCTATTTAAAATTCCAAATTGCATACCTATGGAAACAGCTGAATCTAAAACATTAAATGATACAAATCCTTTGTCAGAGTTTTCTCAATTATTTAAAGACAGCCAAGTCACTACTAAAATTAATTTGAAGGTCGAAAAGGCAGAAAAAAACGATTTAAAGGATAATATTACAAAATTATTGACCATTCATACAAATCCTTTGTCAGAGTTTTCTCAATTATTTAAAGACAGCCAAGTCACTAATAAAATTAAATTGAAGGTCGACAAGGGAGAAAAAAACGATTTAAAGGATAAAATTACAAAATTATTACCCATTGAATCTAAAAATATAAAGGATACAAATAACTTTGCTGAGTTTTCACAACTTTTCAAAGACAGTCAAATCTTTCATAAAATTGATTCAGATATAGAAAAAGCAGCTTCAAGGAATAAAAATTTAATATTACTACCCACTGAAATGGTTGAATCTGAAAACATTTATGATACAAATAATTTGTCAGAGTTTTCTGAAATTTTTAAAGATACACAAGTTTTAAATAAAATCGAATCAGAAGTTACTAATGCAGAAAAATCATCTAAAAAACAATTCAAAATACCAAAATTGCTATCCACATATGAAAAAATTAAATCAATGAAAAAAGATTTACACAAACAAAAAGATAACATGGATAAAACTGCTTTATTTAATGATAAAACTATTACCGATGAATATAGAACTGAAGTAGATTCTTTATTTGATAAAATTGAGGAGTCAATATGTGAGATGGGCACTACAAAAAACAGTTTAATAACTGATGAGGTATTTGATGTGATATTTAATGATGAGCCCAAACAAGACAAGAAAGGAGATAATCAGACAATACAAAATATTAATTGGTCAGATGAGAGCTTTGATAGTTTAAATGCTAGTATTGGAACAAACCTTAAGAATGCCTTACTTGGAAATGCTTTGAAGGGTGTGCAATCCCAGCTAGAATTAAGTTGTTTAAATTTGTCCATTATGGAAGAAAAACCCATGTTTTACAATATGGGACCTTTTTTTGGATTACCACTTAGAGTGATGGAGTTGATAAAACAGTATAAAGGGATTGAAGATTTATATGGTAAATATACATTTTAATACTACATAAATACAGATTTGTTGACATGTTTTTTTTTAGATTGGCAAAAGGAATGTCTTCTTTTACCTTCAATTCAAGACAGAAAAAACTTAATTTATGCTTTACCGACAAGTGGTGGCAAAACCCTTGTGGCTGAAATATTAATTTTAAAAGAATTATTGTGCTACAAGAAAAATGTTTTGTTTATTCTTCCTTATGTAGCGATTGTTCAGGAAAAGGTAATGTGATAAAATCTGTGACCACTTGAATGTTTTAGCTTTATTAATTAATTAATTGATTATTAATTATTTTTTGTATATTTAAACAGGTTTATATTTTTGTTTTAGTACAGTTCGGATTTTTTTTCTCTAAAACTAAGTTTAAGAAAACAAAAATGTAAACAAAATATGTAGGGGCTTTGTCCCCTATAATTTATAGCATTAGGTCGCTGCTCAAAGACAAAAAATTAAAAAAGTATGGCTTTTTGACCCCGATTTTTTTTAACGCACAACTAAACAATAGTTTTTACCTTAATTCGCTACGGGTAGGAGAAGTCCAAAAAGGTTCATGCAAAAAAAATGACCGGTCAATTTTTTCCAAAACTTTTTACAGATGGCCTGTAATATTTTATCAAACTAATTTTAATATAGGTATGCCTTTTATACAGGGTGATTAATTAATATTGCAAAAAGAATATACATGAAAATAAGAAATTTTTTCTCTCAAATGTCTTAATATATTATATTATAATATAATATATTTATTCCAAATTAAACAATTACAAATACTTTTTTTATGTCTACTATTTTTTGAATTTCGCTTCATCCAGATGCTGACGCAAAATAAAGGGAATATTAAAAATGTAAAATTAAAAGAAAACATTTTTATTACAAAGTTGTTGTGTTTTTAGATATTTTATCATCAATCATATAATATTTATATTATATGTATAATGATAAAATATCTAAAAAATAGTTAAAATAAACATTGATGTTGTCAATCATGAAATATTGTTTAATAAGTTGTAATTGTTATGGTGTTAGGTCACCTTTTTACAGTTGGCTATATAACTGAGTGGATTTGAGTCTAACACTATAAGGGTTACTAGTGGAGTTCCACAGGGCTCCCATTTGGCACCCTCATTGTTTAATATCTTTGTAAATGATATTGGTGACTATTTTAGCTCGTCCTACTTACTATTTGCAAACGATTTAAAGATCTTCAGACGTGTGGTCTCTGCACATAATGTAAAGGTACTGCAACAGGATTTAGACTTCCTTGGTGCCAGTGGTGTATTAACAACAAGCTATTTTTTAAACCACAGTAAATGCTTTTTTATTAGATTCTTCAGAAAGAATGTTGTCAATGCAGACAACTACACCATCTTGGGAAATTACCTAAACGAAGTGTACATAGTTAGAGATCTAGGCTTGTTGTTGGACAATAAACTCCAGTTCTACAACCATTTTGATGCAATAATCACTGAAGCAAACAAAATGCTGGGATTTGTGATGAGAATGTGTAAAGACTTTAATGCCATTCGCTCTCTTGCCCTATGTAACTTTAATTAGATCCCGACTAGAATATGCGTAAATAATATGGTCGCCAATCTACCAAACCCAAGTTACTAGAATCAAGTCAATTCAGAATAAATTTTCCCGAAAAGTGAATTACAAACTGATTAATGGTACTCAAGAAACCCTACAGTATTTGGGTCTTAATTCCCCTAAAAGGCGTAGATTTAATAAAGAAGCTTGCTTCCTCTTCTTAATTGCTTGATTCAGTCATCTGAAATACTGACGTCCTTTAACATAAAAGTACTAACATGGAACACCATGTTATTGAAGATTCCCAGTTGCCGCACTGTATATACGCCAGTTATTCTTCATTAAGTCGAATCTCTAATGTCTGTAATAGTTTCCCTGCAATAATTTTTTTAAATTGTTTATTTGTATCTTATAAATCTCAGCTTTATTCGCTTAGTGATTGATTGCTTGGATGTATGGTATGGCAGTCACCACATTATTATCATTATTACTGTATTATTATGAATGTTTTATTTTGTTATTGGGAAATATTTAATATTTTATTTAATTTAATAGAATTAGTTTGATTGATTTATATATGTTGTTATTAGTTTAAACTATTACTATTATAGTGTAATTACTATTTTTGCGTTAATAAACATTATTTTAATTATAATTAGGGGCCGTCCATAAATGATGTCACACGTTTTTTTAATATTTTTGACCCCCCTCCCCCACTTGTCATAAATTGTCACAAATTATGGGACCCCCCTCCACATCTGCGTCACGTCACACTGATTTAATTTTTATGTAAGGTCTACCCAACGAAATTTTTGCTTAAAATAAAATCTTAATATCCAGTTTATAACAATTATTAATTATTAAATTCCAAAATATTTTTATAATTTTGTGACATCACAACCTCTCAAACCCCCTCCCCGGCTGTCACAAACTGTCAAAATTTCGACGACCCCCCCCCTCCCCCCTAAGAGTGTGACATCATTTATGGACGGCCCCTTATACATGTGATTCATTAGTATTGCAAAAAACTTAGGATAAGATAAATAAAATATACATATAAAATAAAATATTTTAATATCAATCCTATGATCCTGATGATAAAATATTATGTATATTTTATATTTTATTTATCTTATCCTAATTTTTTTGCTATATTAATGAATCACATGTATAATTATGTTTTTTTTCCTCATCTCTCCCGAGCGTCGCACAAGCCGCCGTTACCCTACGCCGAGTTTTTCCGTAGCCAGAAACTGCACGGCTTCACCTGTGTTTGCTGGGTGCGAATGTCCTGGCACTGTACCGTATTTGGGGCTTAAGAGCGACATGCGAATAGTTTGAATAGCCTCTCCCGGTTTCGCCGGGCCGTTGCTATACGCCCAGTAGGAAAAAAAGGAGGTGGGGAGGGGGGACAGACATTGTGGTTTTTAGGGAACAATTACGCCGATTCAAATCTGTGTACGACCCGGTTCCCTCTAGACCGGGAAATTAGTATTACTACAATCATTTGGAATTACTATTTGAAGTTGGGGAGTTATTAGTTAGCTTTAGGGACTTATATTCCTTGTCGTAGGCTACGGCTTCGTTTGAGACGTTGTGGCGTCCAAAGCGGCTAGTGTTGTTTCCACTCCTACCCTAAAGCTGTTTTTGCCCTAGTCGTTTAAGCACAGTATACAGTTCTTTGTACTGTGGTTTAAGCATAGAGTAAGTATGCATTTGTTTGTCCGTCTTTGTCTTTTATGTTTTCGTAAGGGCTGTTTAGTTCGGTTATTGCATTTTCGACGTAAGGTCTATAAGTTCCTAGATTCCTATGTTTATTTATATCTCGGTTAATGTACACAGTTTTTTTTGTTCGAAAAAGTCTCTTAATTTTATGAATTTTGTGACTTACTTGGTGATTGATTTATTTTTCTTGCTCAGCAATAATCCCGTTATTGCCAGCGCTGCAGCGATAAGATTTGGCACGGCTTGGATTTATTGTTTTTTTGAAATGTTTTGTTGCTATTGTCTTATTAATGTTGCCGTTGCTTTTTGTTTTACATTGTTTTTTTGTTTTGTTTTTTAATAGGGTTGTGTTTGAGCGTAAAGAACCACTCCTAGGGTTGTGTAGGTATCTGAACGTGGTTAATGTTGCAAATTTATGTATAAGGTCTTGCAGTACTTATCAAATGTTTGCAGATGATGGCCCTTTCCTCCCTTGGTTAGCCTCGTTTGTTCTATAATGCTTTCTATTGTCAGGTGGTTCGTCCGCCATGTATGCACTTACCAGTTCACTCTATTACTTCCTTGACCATAAGGTAGCCTTTAATTCACTGTGGATACAATGCATTATAGTTTATTTGCACTGTAGGAGTAGTTTATTGTACATTTACTTAAAGACCTTTTTAACAATAAATTCCACATTTTTTCTATAGAAAGGTGATGTGAGGATTTTTAAAATTTACAGTGTTTAAAAAACCCTATTTTTAATAACCAATAAAGTTTTTTAAACATTTGTAACCATGAGTTGAAAAAACATTTTTTTTTAAATAATTTGGGTCTTGTTTAGGTTTGGTCTTTATCACCTTTTGCAGTAGCTTTGGACTTTTTAGTAGAAGAATATGCTTCAAGTAAGGGTACATACCCCCCTAGAAAAAGAAGACGGAAAAAATCGGTATTTATTGCGACAATCGAAAAAGCTTTAGGACTTGTGAACAGTTTGATAGAAACCGGCAGACTGAATGAATTAGGATTGGTGGTGATTGATGAACTACATCTTCTTGGAGAAGAGGGAAGAGGGGCTACATTGGAAGCTGTTCTAACAAAATTAATGTTCTTAAAGGGTAAATTAAGAGTTTAGTTCCTTCAAAAGCGTCTTAAATTTTTGCAACTTTATATTTCACTCAAGCTTTTTTAAATTTATTCCATATTTATTGAAATAGTTTAAAAGTTCCAGCTTCATTTATTTTGCATTTTTAGCTAATGTTCATTTAATTGGTATGAGCGCTACTATAGGCAATCTATCGGAAATCTGTAAATTTTTAAACGCAGATAAATATACGAAAAATTTTAGACCTGTGGAATTAACGGAATTCGTAAAATGTGGAAATGAAATTGCGAAAGTTAATTGGAATTACACAGATAAAAACGATTTGTTAATTGAACCCAAAAGAGTTAATTTTAAGGTAAGTTATTAGCTTATTTTTTAAATATCTTATTAATATAATATATATTTTAGTATTCAGAGTCTTTGGCAAAACTGGACCCAGACATGATCGGAGGTTTGGTCAGTGATATTGTGCCAAAAAGTTCATGCCTTATTTTTTGTCCGTCCAAAAAGAATTGCGAAAACGTTGCGTATTTGCTGTGCAAAACTGCCAATCCGTAAGAAACAATGTCCTTTTAAATATTGTTATTGAATATGTTATTAAATTTTATCTTTTAGAATAATTAAAGAGCACAGAAAAGTGGAAAAGGGACAAATCCTTCATGCCCTAAAAGATGAAAGTGGAGAATTGTGTGGAATATTAAACATATCTATTAATTTTGGGATTGCTTATCATCATTCTGGTAAGAAATTACTTTTTTTTTTTAATATTTTAATTCAAGTATTAGAGAAATAACTACAGGCGCTTTGGTCAAAAAACTTTAGAATTTTAGTTTTAATTTTGTATTTATATTTGTTATTTTTATAGAACCTAAATCATAGTTTGCTTTTATGATTATTATTGTTTAATTGAGGAGCATCCGTGCAAAACCGGCTATATCCACTTTAATAAAATGTTCGGAAAATGGCAAAAACTCTTGGTTTCCTGGCCTTTACAGATAAAAAAAAGCAAACTTGAGTTTTGTGGGCTTTATGGTACTTGATTGACATACTTTCGTTTTCAAAAACTATATACCTATTAAGGCAAACATTTCAAAAAATGTTTTGTTATAGATGGTTTTGCTCAAAAACCTACGAATAAAATGTAAAAAAACCTTTATTATTCAAAAATATGAACAAAATAAATTTAGTGAAAACATGAAAAAACAGAACCAATTTTAGTAGTAGTATCGACATATCCAAGCCACATGCTCATCATCATTATTATTTATTGGATATAGCCGGGTTTGCTATAAAATCGTGGATTTGGCCGGTTTTGCTCCTAAAACTACCTTTTAAATGTGATTTTAACATGGATATAGTCGGATTTAAACCGAATTATTTTGGTTGTCAATAAGATGCGAAATCAAAAACAACAAACAACTGAATAAAATGGATTTAGCTGGTTTTGCACGGATGTTCCTCAATTGTATTGCATAATACGTATACAGGGTGTCTATTTAACGACGAGCAATGCTCTATAAGTCTAGACCTAAAAAAGATAAAAAAATTCTTAAAAACGTATCTAGGATATCTGGGGGGAATATGACCACAAAAATGACCTTCACTAAGCAACCCCTGGGGCTGTAGCCACCCCAACTCAATTTTTTAAATGACAAGACCCTCTGTAATTTCTTATTGGAAAGCCCTTTAGAATTGCTATTTAACTGTACTAATAAAATACATTTAATAGTTTATTTTTTTTTAAATACGCAAAATAATGTTTATGATTATTTATTCCAATTTCTCGTTATAACTATCAAATTAAATCATTTTGTTGTCGTAAAAACATTAGTTAAAATAACTGGAGAACAACAAATAATTCTAACAAAAGTATAATAAACTAAAAAAGCATAAATAAACAAATTAATTTTGTTCAACAATAATCAAAACATTTTAGCTTTTTAAATTAAATGCAGAAAATAACTCCCATGAATCCAATATTTTGAAATATACAGGGTGGTCCAGGTTATAGTAGCAATAATTCACCATTCGATAGTCCATCGAAAAATAAGTCGACATGCATGGTAATTTTTTTCTCCAAAACCCCTCCTAAGGGTGTTATAACTCTCAGGATATAAAAGCGTTTTTGACCAAATTTGGTACAAGTACTTATGAAATAGGTACTCGTTACCTGACGTAAGTAACTTTTGTCAAAATTGTCCAGTGACGTAGATACAGGGGGGTTGTTTCACTTTTTCCACCCCATTTTTTACGCCACTGGATATTGGTTTAAATTAACCTATTTTTCTAATTCCTTGTTCAATTTTGAGTTAAAAAGCCACTCTTGTCAAATTTTGATTTAAGGCTTTGTTTACGAGATAATTGAGTTTAAAAAAACATACAGTCCTGCAAAGTTCAGTTTTAAATATCTTTTTTTTGTCATAACTCTAAATCTGCACAATGATGTTCTGGTTTAAGCTTAATAGCACATTGCGATTAATTTCTGCACACGCATTCTGGATTATTTGTAGAAGCTCTTCCCTTGTGGGCACAGGTGTGAAGGGCTTTATGTCTTTTCTGAGGAAGTTTTGAAGAAAATAAAACAATGCATGTCGAGTTATTTTTCAGTGAAATCCTGGGCGGAAAAAGTGAAACAACCCCTGTATGTACGCCAATGGACAATTTTGACAAAAGTTACTTGGGTCAAGTAACGAGTATCTACTTCTACTTCTACTTGTATCAAAGTTGGTGAAAAACGCTTTAGCGATCTTAGATTTAGAGTTATGACAAAAAAAAGATATTTAAAACTGAACTTTGCAGGACTGTATGTTTTTTTAAACTCAATTATCTCGTAAACAAAGCCTTAAATCAAAATTTGACAAGAGTGGCTTTTTTTCTCAAAATTGAACAAGGAATTAGAAAAATAGGTCAATTTAAACCAATATCCAGTGGCGTAAAAAATGGGGTGGAAAGAGTGAAACAACCCCCCTGTATCTACGTCACTGGACAATTTTGACAAAAGTTACTTACGTCAGGTAACGAGTACCTATTTCATAAGTACTTGTACCAAATTTGGTCAAAAACGCTTTTATTTCCTGAGAGTTATGACAAAAAAAAGATTTTTAAAACTCAACTTTGAAGGGCTGTATCTCCCTTAGGAGGGGTTTTGGAGAAAAAAATTACCATGCATGTCGACTTATTTTTCGATGGACTATCGAATGGTGAATTATTGCTACTATAACCTGGACCACCCTGTATACCGCGAAATATATTGGAATTATACAAAAATTTAAATCCTCAATAGAATGTGTTCTTTTTGGTGGATTTTTGTTATCAGATTTATAAAAACCTACAAAAGAAGACTGCTATTCTAAAATAAAAAATCAAAACATTTGCTTCAGCGATAAGTGGAAATGTTAACAAACAAACATGTCGTTATTGGAGCAATGATAATTCTCATCTCATCATAGAAAATCATACCCAGTATCCTGAAAAACCTAATTTCTGGGCTGGAATTTTGGGAGATTGTCCCTTATTTTTGCCCAAAATTTGAATGATCAAATTTATTTTGAAATGTTACAAGATGGGGCACCACCTCATTATGTAGTAGCTATTAGGGCTTAGCTGAATCAGAATTATCCAGAACAGTGGATTAGTATAAGAATAGAATGGCCTCCCAGATCTCCAGATCTGTGGTCTGCAAAATGTATCCTCATTCTATTTAAGATCTTCAACAACAAATAGTTTAGGAGTGCCGAGCTATTCCACGACAAACATTTCAAAATGTTCAAGAGAATTTGAGAATAGACTGTACTATTGCTTACAAAACAATGGAAGAAACTAAAAATTAAAGTTTGAACAATTTGTTTATTTATGCTTTTTTATTTTTTTATACTTTGATTAGAATTATTTTGTTTTCTTCAGTTTTTCACTATTGTGTTTAAGACAACAACATGGTTTAATTTGGTATTTAATGGTTTATTTTGATATTTATAACGAGAAATTGGAATAAATAATTATAAAAATTATTTTGCGTAGGTATTTTTCAAAAAAATAAGTTAGGTAGGCTACAGCCCCAGGGATTGCTTAGTGAAGTTCATTTTGTGGTCTTACTGATTCCCCCTACATATCCTAGAAACAGTTTTGAATAATTTTTGATATCTTTTTTTAGGTCCAGACTTATGTATATACTTTGTCCTGTAATTCGAATATTGTATTCTGGTGGGCAATAAATAATTTATACAAGTTATATTTAAGTTTTCCTGTTTTTTCTAATTGTTTTTTAGGTTTAACAAGCGATGAAAGGCGAATTATTGAAGAAGGTTTTAGAGCTGGAGTTATTTGTATTATCTGTTGTACATCCACGTTAGCAGCTGGAGTTAATTTACCAGCTAGGAGGGTAATTCTTTTAAAATAGTTTTAGTAATACCTAAATACAGTTTTCCAATAATATGTTTAAGACACCAATATCGGTTGCCCAATCTTATTTTGGAAAAATCTTGTACATATTTAAAGTTTGTTTTAAAAATAAAAAGGCTCTATACTTAATACTTAATACTTAATAGTTAACATTTTGATATGCTCTAATTTTAAAATGTTGTATGTTACAAAAGAAGCATCCAGTTTTGAATATTTTTTTCTACAAGCGTACTTTTCCGCACGCTTTACAGTGCAGAAAGAAAGTGCGTGCGGAAAGAAGCTACTTTCATAATTTGTGGGATATTAAAAGTAGCATCCAAAAGGTCGTTGGGAGGTTTGTTCAGAAGATTGTTTTGGAAATTTGCTTACTTGGACATTTCTACATGCAAAGTGGCTTGCTATTGTTAATATTTTTTTTACTGGGATGAGTGTAGTTTACTCTATTATTCAATGTTATTCCCACAATCCTTGGTAATTCCCAAGTATTATACATTAGATTTTGGCTCTATTAGGTTATTTTACATCTTCAATGTTAAATGGAGTCAATTAAACAAACGCATTCAGTGAAATAAAAAATATTTTGGTTTATAATGCTCTACTAAATAAAGGAATTTTTTTTTAGGTAATTCTTAGATCCCCCTACTTGGGTAGAGAATTCCTAAACTTATCAAGATACAAACAGATGGTCGGTAGAGCTGGCCGAGCAGGTCTCGGTGAAGCTGGCGATAGTATTTTAATTACAAACCCGGAAGATCTAGAACGAGTTAAACAATTGCTATTGAGTCCAATGAACGAGGCCCGTTCGGGAATGCACTTAAACGATTCAAAAGGATACAGACATTTGGTTTTAAGTTGCATAAGTTTACGTCTAGCTAATACTAGATCAAGCTTACTGGAATTTGCCAATCACACTTTAATGGCGGTGCAATGTGATAAGTTACAAGTTTGTTTAAAGAGTTTGACTGATGGAGTGATAAGAAGTTTATTTAAGTTGGGGGCCATTCAGGAGCAGAGTGATAAAAAGGAAACAGAGAGTCCTAATTTGGATCTTACAATCAAAATTGTTTCTTCCATGGTAATAATATGATATAGTTAGAAGAAATAACGATATTCATATTCATATGCTCACAGGAATCGTGAATGTACGGAAAAAGCTAAACGATGTTTTTTTAGAGATGGGAAAATTGCCATTTGACGAAAATTCCCGGAAACTTTCAATCGAAAATTCCTGAAACTTTCTGAATTTTTTTTTTATTGCGGAAATAAGTTCTTTGTTTGCAATAATGAAAAATATTGGCTACCTACCCAGACAACATTCGTGATATTCATACGAACATCATGTCGTGATTTTCACAAATTTTATTCATACTGATATCATACGGAAGTCACCGCGTGATAAATGAAAATCATACGAACGTCACGTCGTGATTTTCACAAATTTTATTCATACGGACATCATATGATCCGGATATCCGGATGTCACTGCGTGAGAAATAAAAATCATGTCGTGATTTTTTATGCCATCGCTGTTTGCGATTGACCGATGGCACAAAAAATCATGTCGTGTTTTTGGATAATCATTTTTGCGCTACGTTCGTACATTATAAGAGAAAAATTATGTTGAATCAACAGTTTTTGCGGTTAAATACATTCAATATTTTCTTGGATTTAAATTAACTTTATATAGTTAATTTAAATCCAAGAAAATATTGAATGTTAAACTGTTGATTCAATTGTTAACATACTTGTTCTTTTAATGTACGAATGTGTCGCAAAAATGAATATCCACCGAATGCAAAAAAAATCATGTCTTGATTTTTTATGACCAATCACCGATGGCATAAAAAATCATGTCGTGATTTTTTATGCCATTGGTGTTTGGATATTTATTTTTGCGCCACATTCGTACATTGAGACTACATATATATTGAATCAACAGTTTTTGTGGTTAAATACATTCAATATTTTTTTGGATTAAAATTATTAGTTAATTTACATCCAAGAAAATATTAAATGTAAATAAAATTTGTGAAAATCACGACGTGACGTTCGTATGATTTTCATTTATTACGCGGTGACTTTCGTATGATATCAGTATGAAAAAAATTTGTGAAAATCACGACATGATGTTCGTATGAATATCAAGAATGTTGTCCGGGTTCAATTAAAAAAGATATTCCAATGTTTAACAAAACATTCACGTTTTGTTAAACATTGGAATATCTTTTTTAATTGAACCCGGAAAACATTCGTGATATTCAAACAACGTTTTATAAATTATAATTATAATTAACGGTGTAATGTGAATAACAAACTAGGTATTAAATTCGCAGTTCGCAGGGCTCATACGCATGCGCAAATTTTGCAAATATCACACCGTGAGTTCTACATGATATCACTGTGATGAAGCATGTGTATGCACTCAGGATATCACAGCGTGATAAAAAAAATCACGTTGTGATATCATCATGACTTCACCAGGAAATCCCGATTGTTGTCCGGGTATATAGGAATATTAAAATGTAAAAGATACTAAAATTAGTATTGCAGTTCTGACCAATAAAATATGAAAAAAAACTACAGGCTGCTTAGCACAATAAAATCAACAACTCTGGAGTTGCTACAATTATATTTATTAGTACATCCCCATTACATCTGTCCAACCATCTAAAAGATCTTCAACTACTTTTTGGATTCTAGCATATTCAGTGTTAAGAAATCTTGATCTCAATTTCTTTCTTCCAAGTAGCTTGAAACTTGGATGTAGTTGCTTAAAAATCATTACAATATCAGAGTTTTCGACTAAACTAAAGGGGCAAGAACTAGAATAAATTGCTTGAGCAAATAGTTCTTTCAATTTATTTTGTTTGGTAATATAAGAGACATGTTATCAACAAATTCTTTTATGTTTCCAGTACCTGGCATCAAAGGTATTATCTTTGCCTGGCATTGCTTAACTCTGAATATGCTGGAATCCAAAAAGTAATTGAAGATAAAGTACAAGAGGCTGATAATATGACAATTCTTTCAGATGGTTGGACAGATGTCAATGGGGTGGCACTAATAAATATAATTGTAGCAACTCCAGAGTTGTTGATTTTATTTTGCCTGTGGTTTTTTTTCATATTTTATTGGTCAGAACTGCAATACTATTTTTAGTATCTTTTACTTTTCATTATTCCCATATAGCCTATATATATGATATGATATAGGTAGCCAATATTATTTCTTTTTGCAATCCTGGCACAAAAAACATTTTCGCAATAGTTTTTGTTTCCGGTAATGTTCGTGAAATGGGAATTTTCCCATCTCTAGGGTTTTTTGCAAACGAATTATAAATTGTGATGATGAGATTTTTCAAAAACTCTTTCTTCTTTAAATTGACACAAATTAACTTCTTCTTATTCAGTTTCTTGGCATTAACTTTGCAAATCAGCTGTTAAACAATTGACATTTACATACAAAACAGGGAAAGTTTCCGGGAATGTTTCCAGTAACTTTAAAAGAAACTTTCAAAATAAAAATAAATTCCCGACTGGAAACTTTCCAATTCCCAACTTTAGTTTTTTATTTACTTTTTAAATAATTTTTTTGTGAAGGGTTGTTTTTAAGGAAAATAGGCCCCTTAAAAACAAGCCTCAACATCGTTTAGAAGTGGAACTTTTTGCAACACATGTCAATAATATTCATAATTGGTTTTTGACCATTATAAATATTTTATAGATAGATTTTCGTTTACACGTACTATTTATATATACAGTATCTACGTTAAAAGTCCCCCCCTGTTATCTTTTTAAGTATACTATTTTTTGACGTCAAATTGATTGACGTTAATTTTGCTGAATTTGGACGTAATTTGCACCAAGCAGAGAGGGTATTTAATGAAAGGTACCCAGACAACCCTATTTGCAGAAAATCTATACAAAAGTTAGTGACTAAATTTCAAACAACTGTGTGAGTAGGCAGAAAGGATCAGGTAGGAAATCAATCTCAGCAGACAAACAAATAGGAATAGTCGGTTCCGTCAATAATCCACAACAATCAACGGCGGCAGTTGCAGGTGATTGTGATATAGCAAAATCAATTGTTAGAAAATATTTAATTTATAACAAATTTTATCCCTTAAATTAAAAATATTACATCAACTTACTGAATATGACCCGCAGTGTAAAGTTATGTGTGAGCGCATAATACAAAATCTCCTGTACTTGCAATCAATTTGTTTTAGTTATGAGCACTTTTTTATAAATGACACTATAAATCGGCAAAATGTACGATGTTAGATGTTAATCCTCATGTTTTTCGTAAAGGTCATACCCAGTACCCACAAAAAGTCAATGTATGGGCTGGATAACTGGGAAACCCTATTGTAGAATCCATCTTTTTAAAAGGAAATTTAACATGCATCTTGTACATGGTTCAAACAAAATTTATCCAATAATTGAAAATATATTTTATATTTATATATTTAAGCTAATCCTGACGAATTTGACATGGAATTGATATTCCAACAAGATGGAGCGTCCGCACATTATTTTAGGAATGTTAGACAGTGGCTTGATTATACTTATTCAAATAGGTGGATTGGTAGGCGTGGTTTTACCTAAAGGAGGGCTCGGTCTCATGTTTAACCCACTTGATTTTTTTTGTGGGGTTATTTAAAGTCGTAGATCTACATCACCGAACCGGAATCAATTAATGATCTAAAACATCGGATTAGACTTGAATGTGCGAATATTACACAAGCAACCTTTGCAAATGTGAGAACTGAAAAACAGACTATTTTTGTGTCAAAATGTCCAAGGGGAGCATTTTGAACATCCAATTTGATAACTAATTGAAAATTTATTGTACTTAATAGATAAAAACCTTGTACTTAAGAAATTAAAACAGAAATTTGATTTGATAATTAATTTTATTTAAACGTTTAATATCTTAGCAACCATAAAACAAATTTTAGATATACGTTGAATATAAAATCAAAATACCTTTAAAATGAGGTATAACCCCCCCTTTCCATTTAAAATGTTTCAGTTGATACTGCCCTCTTGGCGCTCCTTAAATAGATTCCTTACCTACGTCAAAAAGTAGTATAAATCCTTGACAATGGGTTTTGTCCGATGGCGATATCTTTTTTCGTTCAAAAGATAATAGGGTGGGGGACTTTTAACATGCACAGTGTATATATTTTCCATGCAAATTTGTAATTAATTACCTGTTAATTACCGGTACTTTTTTCCTTGTTGCATAGAAAAATAATAAACTTTTTTTATTATAAACTTGGTTTTTTAGTGAGGTATACAAAATAATTTTTGATTTTTTTTGTTAAAATATCGACCAATGTTGTTATTTATTATTATTTTAAGCCAACACAAGCTGGAGTTAGTATGGAGGAACCCAGCACAAGTAAAGCAAAGAAAACTGTTGTTCTTAAAAATACAACAAAATTTATTGTTAGTAAAATGGGCTCTGCTGCAATAAAAGGTACCTAAACAAAAAATATCAACATATTTTGAAGTTTATTTTATCTCTTATTTTAAGGAGGTCTGGAACTTTCAAAAGCTCATATACTCTATGAAGATTTGTATCAAGCACAAAATAGTTTGGTTTTGTTAGATTGTTTACATTTATTATATTTAGTTACTCCTTACGATACTTCAGAACAAATTAAACCCAACATGCAGGTTTATTATCATATTGTAAGTATTTTATTTTATAAAAAATATAAAGCAACAACTATTACTAATAATTATAGCTTACACATTTGGATAAAAAACAACTACAAACAGCCAAAGTTTTGGGTTTGAATGAATCAGTTTCAGTTAAGATGATCTCAGGACAACCTATTAAGGTTTTATATTAATTTTGTTAAAGATTTTTTTAAATACTTATTATTTTTAATTGCAGAATGTTTCTGAACGTGTAATAAACCGTTTTTATGTAACATTAATGCTTTATGACCTATGGAATGAAACACCTGTATTTGAAGTTTCAGAAAAATATCAAGTAAGTTTTTGTCGTAATATTCCTAATATTTTATTTTAAAATATTTATGTACATATATTATTGTAATTTTTTTCATTTATATGCTTCCAATTTGTTTTAATAAATTGTAGGTACATACTTGGTTTAAAAGCTTTTTTGTCTAGCACAATATTTGGGCCATGCCTCCGCTGCCCGCAATCATATACAAAAGATAAATTGGGTGGGTGGTGGGACAAGACTTAATTCAATTCATAACAAAAAATATGTGTGTGGAGTAATGACATGTGTATTTATTTATTATAGAACATTTTTAAAGCCACATTGTATTACAATTTCAAAATTTTAATTAGTAAAAAAAATGGGGAGGCGCCAAATATAGATGCCAGTACCTCTCGCAAGCTAAGCAAGCACTCTACTACATCGCGCGCGGAATTGTGCTCAGGCACTGACCAAGCCCGCCTGAGCTAATTCTAAAACCGCAATAATAAGTTTTGTTTAATATAAAAACCCTCAATGGCACTATCTAAAATTTTAGTTTAATTAAGGATTTTTCTTAATAATAATAATATTTACTTAGATCAACAGAGGCATAGTGCAAAACCTGATGGTCTCTGCAGCTACATTTTCATCTAACGTCGTTCAATTTTGCGAAGAACTGGAAGAATTTTGGTCGTTTTCTCATTTGCTTAAAGGTATGAGTACAAGACTGTCGCATTGCTGCGTTAAAGAATTAATTCCCCTTATGGAACTCCCAGCTGTTAAACAGGGTAGAGCCAAGCAGCTTTACAACGCAGGATACAAAAATTTACAATCAGTTGCCAAAGCTAATGTAAATGATTTGATGGAAAGTATCGAGTTTATGTCCAGGACTGTGGCTAATCAGTTAATATCAGCTGCAAAGGTTAGTATTTTATGGTATACCTTAGTTTAAACTTTAAAGCAGTAGTGTTAGAAATGACTGTTACAGCAGGCGCTGGTATTTTGAATACAAATTTGGTACAATTGGGTTGGGACATGATGTAGAAAATAAGTGTGAAACCACTTCTATTATAGAGATTATAATCTCTATAATACTATATATATATAATACTATAGTATGGATAACTATTATAGGCGTGTCAAGATTAGGAATGAAGTATACTTAAAACCATTAAGTATTAAGTTTATAAAATTATTTTTAAAATTTAAAATTGAACCTCTAGTAATTACTTTACCTTGACTTAAATACGTATCAAAGTACTTTGATGAATACTGTACATAACCAAGAAACGTGCCAGAAACCATATACATTGTGTCTACTTCAGTTGGCAACATATGGGAAACATTTTTATTATTAATTTTAAGGAAAAAAGTTATTCTTTATAAAGAGTTCTGCATGTTCTAAAATCTAAAATACAATCATCAGATATAACATTTTTTTCAGTCGTATACGCGGTTTCTCACGAAAAATATTAATCTTACTTTATACAGGGTGTTTCTTTTAACCTGAGACAGCTCAATATCTCGAGAAATATGCATTTCACGGAAAAATGTCTTAAATAAAAGGTTAATGTGACCAAAGGGGACATTATTTGGTGCTACCGCTAGCCACCTCCTACCCCTCCTTAAGGGTGAAACGGGGGGTAACTTTGGAAAGTCAAAAGGGATGACCCGATTTTTTTCACAGATTTTGGTAGTACATAAAAAAATGAATAACTTTTATTTGAAAGTTTTTTTCAATTTATCAACAGATGGCGCTGTAATTCAAAATTTAAGAAAAAGGGGTTTCCTTGTAAAATGTATTATTTGAAACGTTTGAAAAACAAAAATTAACATTAAATCAACAATAGTCGGCTCTGAAAACAATTTATAACAAATGTTCGAAATGTCGTCCTTCCATTTCGACACCAAGTGGAGCACCAGCGTCCCTGGTAGGTAAACGTTTGGTGCGGTACCTTAAGCGAACGATTAATCGGACCCTTCTTTATTGACGGTGCATTAAATGGCGAAAAGTACCGGAATTTTCTAGAAAACGATCTGACGGACCTTTTGGAGAATGTACAATTGGCGTCCCCGAAATGTGAACGGCAAAATTTAATCGTGTAATATGAGCTTTGCATCAGTGTCGTCGGTAGTTGTCAAATTTGATAATAGTTGTCAATTGCAATATCAAAAATGCCACCCAACTTAACTGAGGCTGAGAGGTCCAGGGCAATAGCCAAATTAGAAGAAAATTGGTCTTTACGTGAAGTGCCTGCGGATTTAAATGTCAGTAAAAGCTGCATATTTTATATCAAGAAACGTTGGCAAGAACAACAAAGATTAAGAAGACCTATCAGGCAAGGTGTAGGTAAAATCTCCAACGAAAATGAAGACAATGCTCTTGTCGCTCATATTAGGCAAAATCCTTTCAATAGTGCAGTTAAGGCCCGAAAAGATACACAATTTCCAGGATCTCTTCGAACAGCTCAAAAAAGATTGAAACAAGCTGGCTTAAAAAACTGTGCTGCTGCTCATAAGGTTTTTTTAACTGACGAAAATAAGCGAACTCAGTTCGCCAATGACTATCTAAATTATGGAAAGGAATTTTGAAATAATGTTATATTTTTTGATGAAAAAACCTTCCAATCTTCCTATAATGGAAGGCTGCGTGTATATCGTCCAAGAGACGCAAGATTTAAGAACTACACATTAAGAACCTCAAATAGTGGACGCTTTTCTATAAATTTTTGGGCGTGGATAAGCGTCTATGGTGCGGGAATATGTTGGGAAATTGATGGTAGATTAACGGCTGAGCACTATACGACGATTTTGGACAACGTTATGCTAGCTTCAGTTAGATAGATGTTTCCAGAAAATTTTATATTCCAACATGTTAGAAAACTATACAAAAGTATAAAAAAATAATTCTAATAAATATTATATTACAGGACAATGCACCAGTTCACACAGCTCGCGTGGTTACAGAATGGGTAAACAACAACCACATAACTGTTTTGCCATGGCCAGCTAGAAGTCCTGACTTAAACGCCATTGAAAACGTATGGGGTTTTATAGTTAAAAAATTATATCAACGGGACTTTAGGCCAGCAAACCGAAATGAACTACGGAATGCTGTTGAAAATTCTTGGGAAGAAATTGATGAGTCATACGACATGCGTAAACTAATAATGTCCAGGCCAAAAAGGTTGCAAAGTGTTGTGGCAGCTAATGGCTCTGCAATTAAGCATTAAAATAGCTTATAAGCAGCAATACAGTTTTTTAAACCAGCTTGTTACAATCTTTTTTGAGCTGTTCGAAGAGATCCTGGAAATTGTGTATCTTCTCGGGCCTTAACTGCGCTATTGAAAGGATTTTGCCTAATATGTGCGACAAGAGCATTGTCTTAATTTTCGTTGGAGATTTTACCGAAATGTACTACGGAATGCTATTGAACATCTTGGGAAGAGCTTAAGACATTTAAATCTGCAGCTATTTTACATAAAGACCAATTTTCTTAAGCAATATGTTAATTTAGTTATGTTATTTATATTTTTTATTTACCTACTTGTTGTACAAAACCAAATTAACGTTCATTTATTTGTAATATTGTTTATATTATTGTTTGTTAAAATATTATTAAAAAAATAACGATTTAGAATATTGTTCTTAGTATTTTTCCCTCTATTTGTAACACCACTGGCCAAAGCCAGGAATGAACGAATAAATTTTATGAAAAAAAACTATGACAACCAAAAATCGTTCACATTTCGGGGACGCCAATTGTACCACTAGCACGGCTCCAAAACATGTGGTAGGTACCAGCAAGATGGTTGTCCTGCACATTATTCGGCAATTGCTCGAGAGTTCAATGGCCGGTGCACCGCAGTGAATCGGTAGACGTGGTCCAGTAATTTGGCCTGCTCGATCACCTGATCTTACGCCACCAGACTTCTTCCAGTGGGGTTACTTGAAAGAAAAAGTTTACGCTGCAATTCCTACAACTTGGGAGGACATGGTGGAGCGGGTCAGGAACGCCTGTGCGGCGATACCGCCCGATATGTTGGCGCGTTGTGTGCCAGAATTCATTACCCGCATTCAAAAATGTGTTAAAATGGAATGACATTTCGAACATTTGTTATAAATTGTTTTCATAGCCGACTATTGTTGTTAATGTTAATTTTTGTTTTTCAAAAGTTTCAAATAATACATTTTACAAGGAAACTCATTTTTCTTAAATTTTGAATTACAGCGCCATCTGTTGATAAATTGAAAAAAGTTTTAAATAGAAGTTATTTATTTTTTTATGTACTACCAAACTCTGTGAAAAAAATCGGGTCATTCCATTTGACTTTCCAAAGTTACCCCCCGTTTCACCCTTAAGGAGGGGTAGGGGGTGGCTAGCGGTAGCACCAAATAATGTCACCTTTCACATTAACCTTTTATTTAAGACATTTTTCCGTGAAATGCGTATTTCTCAAGGTATTGAGCTGTCTCAAGTTAAAAGAAACACCCTGTATATGACAATATCAAAAATTCTTATTAAAAAAAGTTGATCAGAACCACAGAAGTAAAAACTACGTTCAAATATGCAATTACTTCATTTTTTTCTTTTTTTTTTTGAGATTGAATGTCAAAACATCAGAATTTTTCTGAAAGGAACGGAAAGGTTATCATGTTTGTAATAAATAAAACAGATAAATGTTCGGTACCTATCGGTAATTTGAGAAATGTAATGGATGTAATTGAGTATTAAAACATAGTTTTTCATTCAGAACTTGACTGAAAAAATTGATATTGATGATTTTATTTTAGATTTTAGAACATGCAGAACTTTTTATAAAAAATAACTTTTCTTCGTAAAATTCTTCGTAAAATTAATAATCTATTAAATTTCCCATATGTTGCCAGATGGATAAACAACTGACCACGCTCCTCACATTTTTTCTATCTCAAGTGGGGAGCAAGTTTTGAATGCTTATTGCCATATGCACAAATGTTTCGATTTTCTCAATTTGTAGAGAAGGCATCAACATTAAATGTGATCTCACGATGGTATAACAAATTTTGTTATACCATCGTAAGATCACGCGCTCTCTTCAAGGTCATCAAAGCATATTGAATCTTGCGAGTTTCAAAACGCTGTAGCGTTCTTTTTGTGAGAAACGTAGGAAATTTTTTTATTACAAACTTGTATGCGTAGATTCCAATATGAAATATAAAATTGCATGTTCCAACCATAACTTCATAATACTAAATAATGTCAAAAAATAAAATGTGAATAAACATCAATTTAAAATATATTCCAACTCGTAATGAAATAAAATAGTATATTTTTATTAAGATTGCCATTTTCCAAAATACCTAAAGCAAAATTTGTGTCATCAAATAAAAAGAAAATTTTAATAAAGTTAAAAAAGTTCATATGTTTTTTTATGAGTTTAATATTTTATTTAGATTAAGCAGTTAAAATACAATTTTTTTTACTGCAGTTTTTCTCTATCTCGCTTAATCCCGGACAACAATCGGGATTTCCTGGTGAAGTCATGATGATATCACAATGTGATCACGCTGTGATATCCTGAGTGCATACATATGCTTCATCACAGTGATATCATGTAGAACTCACGGTGTGATATTTGCAAAATTTGCGCATGCGTATGAGCCCTGCGAACTGCGAATTTAAAACCTAGTTTGTTATTCACATTTCACCGTTATAATTTATAAAACGTTCTTTGAATATCACGAATGTTGTCCGGGTTCAATTAAAAAAGATATTCCAATGTCCCGGACAACATTCGTGATATTCATACGAACATCACGTCGTGATTTTCACAAATTTTATTCATACTGATATCATACAGAAGTCACCGCGTAATAAATGAAAATATAACGAACGTCACGTCGTGACTTTCACAAATTTTGTTCATACGGACATCACTTGTTAACATACTTTTTCTTTCATTGTACGAATGTGGCGCAAAAATAAATAAACAAACATATCGGTGCACCGATTGCATAAAAAATCATGTCGTGATTTTTTATGCCATCGGTGTTTGGATATTTATTTTTGCGCCACATTCGTACATTGAGAGAAAAAGTATACATATATATTGAATCAACAGTTTTTGTGGTTAAATACATTCAATATTTTCTTGGATTTAAATTTACTATATATAGTTAATTTAAATCCAAGAAAATATTAAATGTATTTAACCGCAAAAACTGTTTCAAAATAATTTTTCTCTTAGTGTACGAACGTGGCGCAAAAATGATTATCCAAACACCGTTGGCATAAAAAATCACGACATGATTATTTAGGCCATCGGTCAATCGCAAACAGCGATGGCATAAAAAATCACATGATTTTCATTTCTCACGCAGTGACATCCGGATGATATCCTTATGAATTAAATTTGTGAAAATCACGACGTGACGTTCGTATGATTTTCATTTATCACGCGGTGACTTCCGTATATCAGTATGAATAAAATTTGTGAAAATCACGACGTGATGTTCGTATGAATATCACGAATGTTGTCCGGGATTTTCAAGAATTTAGTGACTAATCAGTCCGGTTTACGATCAAATCATTCATGTGAGTCCGTTGTCGTAAATATATATGAGGACCCTAGAAGCCAAGTGATATTTTAAAAAAATGTAGTTATGTACAGAAAAAGATAGTCAATGCTACATTTTACTTGGTATCCAAGGAATATAACCGAATTCTAGGCTTAGACATCTTGAAAAACAAAGTCATAAAATAACCAACAATTTGACTCCAAATTTTAGGTGGTTTTTTACTTCAAAAATGATTATCTCAAAACTAAACAAAATGTACTTCTCCCCTTGGCTTCTAGGGTCCTCATATGATATATTTGTTAAATTGATTGATAAGGGTAAAATAGTGCTGGCTGTATTTTTAGATTCGAAACTGTTGATAGGGATATATTAATAAATAAACTAAACAAATATGGCCTAAACGCAACAGTGTTAAAGTGGTTTAAGTCATACTTAACTAATAGACAGCAAAAAGTCAAATATAAAAACGCAACATCAAATCCTGTTATTGTAAATTATGTGGTACCTCAAGGTACTGTGTTAGGTCCATTATTATTTTTGTTTTGTATGTTAAAGATATAGCCAAGGTTGTCAACCATTGTCAAATTGAACTATTTGCAGACGACACGGTGGTTTATCTTAGTGGAACTGATGTTAAGCACATGGAACATATTCTAAATCATGATCTTTATTGTATATCCAAATGGCTGTGCAATAATAATTATAAATACCGAAAAAAAAACAAATTATGCTTGTTTGGAAGAATATCAAAATTAAATCTGACTGCATTAAATAATGTCAATATTTTTATAGATATCATTAATATTATGCCTGTTATATTTGACAACGAGTTAAATTTCCATGCTCACGCAGACTATAGTCTATATATATACTGCGAAAGTTTTCTAAAAAAGTAAATTTTATTTCTAGAATTGGTAAGCAGTTAACAATGCATACAAAATTGTTATTATACAACAGTATAGCATCACCACATCTTGAGTTCTGCTCCACCATTCTGTACAATTTACCGAATTACCTATATAATACAAACGTTCCAAGTGGTACAAACAATATTAAAATGTATTATACACCTGTTTTATCTATGTTAAATGTCCTAAAGTGCTTTCCGTCAAACAAAAAACTATATTTTATGTGTTTCTAGTTAAAGTTAAAAATAATATGTTTCCTCATTATATTTGTAAAAAAACACAATATTTTAAAGAGGTCAACTCATATAACACAAAAAATTGCAATGATTTTATATTAGTTGAGTGCAACACCAGTCAAATGCTAAATTCTAAGTATAAATGTCTTTTAAAATTTAATAAATTGCCCAAATATATTAAACTATATGATAATATAAAAAAATTAATAGTTTACTTAGAACACATTTTATTAATCCATTAATGTTTTAATGCTTGTTATTGTACTTTTTACATTTATTCATATATTTTTATAAATGTTATGTTTTTAAAAATGTAAATTTATCCACTCTATTTTGTTAATTTTAATCATAATTTACTTTGTATTTCGCTAAATAAATATTATTTTTATTAAAAAATAAATTCGTTTACCTACTTGTGGCCATAATTTTTCCAGGGGCGAATTTTATTTTATTTTCTTGAAAATTAAACAAGATAGAGAAAAAATGCAGGAAACAAAAAAGGTGTGCTTAGTGTTAAAATAATATTAAACTTATAAAAAAGTAGTAGCATTATTTTGAAATATCAAGTTGGGATGCCCCAGCGCCGCCTTTGCATTAACTAAATTAAATTTAATTACACGACCTATTACTAAAAACCTGGAAAGTTTTATTAAGTTTGGCCAAGTAAGTCTAAAACTTTTGAAAAAATATGTTTTTTTAATATGGACTTTTCTTCTTATTTTAGCGAGTTTTATCGACTGCAAAATTTTCCTAATTAAATCTGTGACACCCTGTTTAATTGTTATCTAGTATTTATAGCTAATTTTAATTTTAGATGCTTTTATTGGAAAAGGTAGAAAATTTACGAGAAGAAGCCGAGGATGTACTGGATGGAGTGGAAATATCCAAGTGATCAAATATCAAAAAGTACTGTTTTAATTATTTATTTTTAATAACGCCATGTAATAAAAAAATAACTATCTACTTATCGTTTTTTATATATACACGGCTGTAAACTTAACGCTGGAAGTTTCTTCTTATTATTTATTGCATTTGCCTTTTTAAAGTCTAGGAAATAAAATAAATTATGTGATAAATCTTTCCAATTCTTCTTAAATCCAAAAGTTTCAACTCCTTTTATAAACATATCAACATCATCAAATCTACTTTCAACTTCTGCAATCTTTAAAAAGCCCCTATAAAAATAAATATTAAAATCTAATACACCAATTCAAAAGTACTTACCCCACTTTTAACACTCTATTAGCCTCCAATAAATATTCATGTAGATTGGTACCCATGAGAGACAAACAAAAAACTACCACATCAACTGATTGGTTTTGTAATGGAACATGTGCCATATCACATGCTGTAACCAACTCATTGCTTGCCACCAAATCAAAAGAATGGACTTTTTGCGTAACAGATTTTGCTAATTTGGCATCACCGCATCCAAAATCTGAAATAACATAATTTTTAGGCCTGAAATAAATAATAAAGTATTACTTAAAAACATGGTATGAGAAATGGAAAAAGGTAAAAATCATATGGGTCATTTCACGCCTAATTTTCAGTTAAAATTTAAATTTGCCTGATTTTTTTTTCCGTTTGCGATACGAAAAAAATTTAAATTTTGAGTTATAATTTTTTGAATTTTAAAACTGATCTTTATACAACCATTTGTAAACGGAATAAGATGCAACAAACTCCTAATCTTTATTGGCAAAAGTTCGAGATTAGATTTTGTTCTAAAGCCCGTATAAATTCTACGTGCAATAATCTTGCACGAAGGCATGCGCATAGCGACGTTTCGTGCAAGTTTATTGCCGTTTCAAATAATCGTTCCTGCTCGATTTTTATTGCCAGTTCGGTTGAAATTGCAAAGTGTTTTACAGTCAGCAATAAAACTTGCATGCAAGAAAGTTGCTGCAAGTAATTGCAGACTGTAATACTTAATACAATTTTTTTATGCGACATTTTTTTTTTCGAATTTGGGGCTCTTATTTTTTAGATTTTTGTAATCCCAAAATATGTATACGAGGTTCTTGATTATACTCTCAAAATTTAAGAATGGAGAAATAAAAACACTGAGAGTAATTAATTTTTCGAATCGGGAGCGCGCTTTTTTGCGTTCGCTCCAAACTACAAATTCGCATATTGAAATAAAACGTGTAATTTTTTTTTCGTACTGTAAAAAAACAAAAAACGGGCAAATTTAAATTTTGACTGAAAATTTGGCATGAAATGACCTCATATGTAATTTTTAATAGAAAAAGAATATGGCAAAATACTTACATTTTCTTGATGGTGTCAATAATATTGTCCACTGGATTCAGGGGCCACCTTTCCACCTGTTGCCTATACCCTTCATGATAGGCTTGGAAAGCATCTGGATCAGTTTTGAAAATGTTTTGGGCTTCTTTACTAGTAGTTGTATAAATTTGCTCATTTAAATATCTAAAACGGGCTGATTTTAATTTAGCCATCATTTTTTCTCTGAGGGATAAAACAGGTTTTTTATGCCTTTTATCTGCTTGCGTTTGCATTGTTTCTTTTAACTTTAATAGTAACTTGGCTTTTTTTGTACATTTATTTATATCTTTTGTTGGATTGTTTGTTTTTATTTTAGCTCGTTTTTCTTGGAGGGCTTCATATTTGGATATTTTATCTGCATTATTCTGGTCATTGAGTTTCAGTTTGTTTTTATTCTTTTTCTTGTTTTTTTCTAGCTTAATTCTTTCTCCATTTTGTTCTTTGTTTGATTGAGACTCCTTACCATTTTTATTTTGAAACTTTTTCTTAACTATAGATGGAGATTTTAACTTTGTGTTAACTTTAGATGGAGACTCCGCAACATTTATATTTAATGATTTTTTCTTATTTTTTTTGGGAGACTGGTTACCATTTTTATTTAAGAACTTTTCATCTTTAACTATAAATGGATTTTCTTTTTTATTTAAGGATTTAGCATTAATTAATATTTTTGGATTGAAAGTACTATTATTTTTCTCTACTTTATTTTTAATTTTAAGAGCCTTTTTGGATTTATTCTTTATTTTACCCCTTGGAGGATTCTATAAACAAAAATAAAATTAATTACTATTTAAAATTGCAAAATCCTTAGCCTAATACCCATGTAAAGTAAATTACTTTAAGTAATAGCTGGATAATTTTAAGGAATATACATATACGCATGATGTCCCTATAATTGTATACCACGTTGTAGAGATAATTATTTTAAGTATAAAAAAATTATAATTTTTATCTGCTGTGAATTTAAGAAGGGTTGTATGAAAAAAAAATAATAAACTAGATATTTGGCTATTGGAAGTAAACATAGTTACCAATTTCTGTTAAAAAAACAAACTTTAAATCGTGAAATTTTTTGTTATTAACAATTTTAACTTTTATTTTTGAAAAGTCATTAAAAAAGTGTGAAAAATCCTTATAAATAAATATTAATTTAATAAAGAAAATAATAGGGATAGAACGATATCACTTTTTTTTCCGATACGATATATCGGCCGATACCGATATTTACGTGCCGATATACCGATATATCGTATCGGCAAACATAATGCCATCTATTTATACACGACCGAAGAAAAATCGGGGAAGTCCCATTTTAATTCCGTTGCGAGGAAACGTTTGTGATTGGTAGTGAGTGACATTTCGGATTTCTGGGAAGCCCCTTATACAGAGTGTATTAAAACGAATAGATACACTTAAATAAAACATGTGCCAAATCCCGGTAGCATTTTTCCGTCTCCTATAGAGCTAGCGCAACCGAGTGCGCTAATCGTGTAGGGTACGGAAGCGAGACCTGTATCTCCGTTCCCTAAGTGGTTAACGCACCGCCTGTAATTAGGTATTATCACTAGAGGCTAAATGTAGCAAAGTATTCCTCAAGGTTATGACGAATAGCTGTCATTTTGGTTTTGCAGGTACACTGCATTGTGCCATACCAAACTAACCCAAACTTAACAACCCAACCCAACCGACCCCGCCCCATTGGGCCCCTCCCGCCCCATTGTCACAATCCAGCCTGCCCTTAGATATATTATACCTCTATTGCTCAATGGGGCGGGAGGGGCCCAATGGGGCGGGGTCGGTTGGGTTGGGTTGTTAAGTTTGGGTTGGTTTGGTATGGCACAATGCAGTGTACCTGCATAACCAAGATGACAGCTATTCGTCATAACCTTGAGGAATACTTTGCTACATTTAGCCTCTAGTGTATTATCGCGCATACAATGATTCGCGCCTTTATTTATTGAGAATTTATAGGTTTTATTTTTATCGAATTCGTTTGTTTTGTTTTAATGCATTTCTGGCAGAAATGCATTAAAACAATATAATATTTAATATTTACGAGCCTAAAAGAAATAGACTAAATGCAGATAGGGCTAAAATGTTGGTGTTTTTGCATCATAATATCAAGAAATTAAATTTTAAGTATTAAGTATATACTGTATTTAGTACCTGCTACATTAGGTATATTTGTTGTAAGTGGTGTTAGGATTTGTTTTACTGTTTTAGTAAAAATGTTACCTTTAGAATAAAATTTTTTATTTTGTTTAATAAAGTATTTAATTTATGCACTGAAGAGTGAAAGCGCATTTTTTTTTTTCCGATATATCGGCAATTATCTTGCCGATACGATACGATACCGATAATCGGAAACAATTGCCGATATACCGATATCAATATCGGTATCGTTCTATCCCTAGAAAATAACATTCAAATTTTTAAGAAACTCGAAAACTATTTGTCAGAAAACATTGTTTACTTAAAATAAACCTCTATAACGTGGGTGCGCCATTTTCGGGCCACACTATATATTAAGATTATTAAAAACCTCCGCATAAAAATAAAGCTAAAATGTCATAATGTCAGTTGAATTTAACTTAAAAATGATGTAACGGAATCTTAAAGAAATATTCTAATGTAACGTTAATAAAAATACTAGCTACTACTATTACAAAGTCCCGTCCGTTACGCTTTAAATTATTAATTTTTAAGGAATTAAACAGTCAATCACGATACCTAATTTTGACAAATAAAAACCTTGTTAAACAGCTTTAGTTTAGAACTATTTATAAAAATTTGACATTGGTAATATAATAGAACAATATTATTTTGTAAATAAAAACACGGCAACTGTCCTATCCGTTACGCGTGGAATGGCCCATATGTACCTGTTAAAACCCGAAATGGGTTATTTAGGTTTATTTCCTCAATAAAAAAAAATTAATTAATTATCTTCTATGTACAATAGAGCCCTGCACGGGCCGGGCCGGGCCGGCCTAAGTTTCTAGGCCATCTAGACATTCTACGCAAAGGTCGCTGTATTTGTCTGTCGATTTAGGAATTTCCACTAAATAAGAATATCATTATTATTATTAATAAAATATATTTATTATATATGATTTATATTATATTAAATTATTATAATATATAATTATTCTATATTATTATAATAGTAAAGAAGGTAGATCGCAATTTGTAAAGTTTTTCTTCTTTTATATGTATAAGTAACATACATTGTATGTAGTTTTTTTAAACGATAAATTAAAAAATATATATTTAAAATGAATATATAAATAAATAATTATTAATTAACTAAATTGTAATGTACATTTAAATTTTTTCTTAACATTTACATAAATAAAACAGCTTAAAAAATCACAAAACGTTTTTTTAGCTTTATTACGGCTAAAAAATGTTATTTATTGGCCGGTCTATATAAAATAGAATCGGTCCGGGCCGGGCCTAATAATTTATTGACCGGGCCGGGCCAGGCTATAGTGAATGATTTTCGGGCCTGGGCCTGAAAAATTCGGCCCGTGCAGGGCTCTAATGTACAATCCACACAACAAGGTCTATTCTATCTCGTTTCGCGCATCAAAAATCCACCTTCTTTATCTCTGCTAAAAAGGCAACCCACTGCACAGACTTTAATGACGGCCATTTTTATGTTGTTTACAATTCTTGTGCTTTGGTTTAATTAAACCAAACATTATTAATAATAAAACGACTTTATTTGATATAAAAAGTAATACATCAAAAGGGCGAAGTTTGTTCCACTTAACCATTGGTTTGGTGCTGTTTATACAGATTTAAAATCGTTTTAAAAGTTTTTTCTTGTAAGAAACACAACGTTTAAAACGATTATTAATCTGTATAAACAGCACAAACCCGAAGCACAAAAATTGTAAACATAAAAATGGCCGCTGTTAAAGTCTGAGAAGTGGTTTGCACGAAACGAGATAGAACAGACCTTGTTTTGTGGATTGTGCTGTGTACTTTGTTTTAAAGACCTTTATTCACAAAAAATCCATATATTGAATTTTCATAAAAGACGAAATTAGCTTGACACTGACAGAAATATTACCTTTAAATTAAGACCTTTATACACAAACTACATATAGTATTATTTTTAGAAAATAAGACGAAATTAGCTGAATTATTTGTATCAAAGTCACTTGGTGGGACTTTGGGATATGAACCATACCCAAGCAACAATTTAAGTATTTGTTACGTATATGGGACTATTGAAGAAACTTCAAAGTGTTTTGCGACAGTCGCCGGTCTCTTTATATTACTCTTTCATTACTACGTTACGACTAAAGTGGGGAACAATTATTGAGTTCCAAAAAGGTAGCAAATATGTCACTAGCTACCAACCCTGCTACTATTTGGGACGTAGCTGCTACGTTACTAGAACGTTCCAATATCGTTGCTAGAGCGTTATAATTACTTTTATTATTTGTTTTTACTTCTATATTAACTGTCTTTGTCAAACTTATATTAGATTATACTATCCCTCCTTTTTTAAATGGAACCACTAAGGACTTGGCTTTTCAATGTCGTCGTTTATTAAATATGTACTGGTAGTTTATAACTTCCAGAATAACAATATAATGTTTAATTAGACAGGTAGATTTATAAACCCTTTAAATTTTACTGTTGAACTTATGAATTTAGTTTTTGTAAAATAAATGCGCTTCATCAATATTTAAGTATAAACAAATTATTTATTTAGTAATGTTTATAAATAAAAAAATATTAATATTTATTATTATTTTTTTTATTTAATTATTAATACCGTCTATTACCAACAATATTTCTATTTATTAAAAAGTAAACAACCATTTACAAACAATTAAAAGTAGTTTTCGCTACTTTAAAGTTTTTTTCCACTTTACGGTTGTTTTGGTTAGTACCATAAACGTTCCAAATACTAAAATAATAACTTTTAAGTTATTAACTTTGTAGTTTTTAACTCATGTTCCAGTTTCGAGATTTTAACTTGCAAAGGGACTACAAAGTAAAAATAATTATAATGTAATCTTTAGGTAGCAACCGAAAGTAACTGCTACAAATTAAATTTACTTGAAAGTTTTTTTTACTTATAACATCTTTTTTAAAGTTGCAAAGTCTTCTTGGGGGCAACCAAGTTTTACTTAAATGTTTATTACTTTATAGTAACAATTTAAGGAAAAATTAAGTTTCTGTTACAAAATATTGCTATTTAAAAGTTAGAATTACTTTTAAGTAAAAATTAAAGTAGCTGTTTAGTATACTTAACTAATTTAAAGTTATCACCACTTTGGCAATGGTTTTTGGAACCAAAAATGCTGCTTGGGTAGTTTCTTTATAATGTGGACTAGAGATCCGTCATTTAAATTTATGAAGGGTCTAGTGTGGACCATAAATCATGTGGACCAAACATTTTTGTTTGATGAGCCTTGATATTTTGCCCGTTGAATGAAACAATTTGGATTCCATGGTTTTTCTATGGGAAATTCATTATTTTGCCCACCCTCAGTAGGCCACAAAGTTACATATTTCTTGCGAGTGTTGAATAAATAAGTATAAATGTTTGCAGCTTTATGTGCACCCATAAAAATGTTAACATTGGCATATATTTTTTAATTTAATTTAATTGACAGCCTTGTATTTTTAATTCAAAATCATAATTTTGCGCAATTCACAAGACAAAATAATATAAAACCAACTATTTTTCAATTTACTTAAGCTATTTAATTTATATCAATGAAAAAACTAACAATTAGGAAAATATATTGAAAAATCCTCTAGGTTTAGATTCTCTTTGCTGCTTCTCTTTTTCAGCATTTTGCTTTTGAATATCCAAATATTCCATTTGCTTCTTTCTAAATGTTTTTAGAGGGTCATCATATTGCTTATAAAATCGTAGAACATCTCTGACATCTTCAATCTCAGTTTGGGCAATAGTTTTCAAAAAAGAAGTAAGATCAATAAGAGTATCATCATCATCTCCATCCCATTTTTTAACATTGAGGTGATTTTCTGGATGGAATTTAACTGATTTTGCATCCCAATCCACCACAATAACTTTACTTAAGTCCCTGTTTAACCTGTTGAGGTTTTTGACATGATGTCCATCAACAAAGTGAGTGGAATCCCTTACTAGTTTATAAGATATAAGGTTTTTAGGGTCAACTGCTTCAATAACAGGAAATATTGTTATGCCTGGTTCAGCTGTAAACACCACTATTTCATATAAACCAATAAGATTTTCCAATAAATAATCCAACCCAGGTCTTTTTTTAAACCTCCAACCAGTTTTGTATGTCCAGTCAGGATGAGCCAAAACATCAGTAAATTCTATTACCAAAGTATAAGGTGGCTGATAATAAGGGTATTTAAAAGAATCTGGTAGCAATTTTTCCCTTGAGGGTTCCTTAATTAATGTCGCAAATTTGTCAAATTGTTTAAGGGAGCGATATAAATATTCTTTCCAAGTGGGTAAATCAGAAAATTCATCTTTTATAACTATACTATTGCTATCAACTTCTGGTTTCCCAAATTCAAACACCAAGTATGAACCAATCATTGTGGCAGATATCCCAAGGAACATAAATGTGTATTTGGAAGATAAGCTACCCGAGCTGGATTTACTCTCTTTATTTTCATTTGGTGCTTTAATATCCAGTGTTTTCTCGTCCAATTCTTTATTGATGTTCACAATGGTACTCACATTTGGCTTACTGGAGTACTTAATTTTGGAAATAAAGATTTGTGGCACAGCCCTATGTCTATATCCATAAAAAGGAAGAAGTGCATTTCTTCTTAAGATGTTTCTAAATATTATTGTTCTGAATGCCATATGTCAAATTTTAACCCAAATTTAAAGAATACTTAAATTGGCTGTCTTTGATTTCGCTAATGCATTTTAACCTTTTTTAAGGGGTGAATGGCTTTTTAGTTGATTTTACATTAAATTTAACGTGTGTTTTGATGATTGCATTTGATAGTTTATTCTTAAACAAATGATAGCTACCGAAATGATTGATGATTAAATGTATGTAATATAAATTTAAACTAACCTGAAACATTTTATTACAAGTCTCATTGTCGTCAGCATCCCAAGAAGCAGTTTTAAACATGTTTAACACTATCAAAACAAGTAACGATGTTTTTAGGTTATAAAAATAAAGTGGGGTTATTTTTTCATGCAGACAACTTGACAAGGTAAAAGTACTTTAAAATGTTGGTGATTTATTTATTTCTGTGGGCTAAACGATTTGTTATAATATATTATGACGATTTGTTTTGAAAAAAAATATTCAAGTAAGAATTTCGGTACCTTATAAAACCTATTGATAAATTAAATTGTATACTCGATTAAATAAACTTTTTATTTCTTCTGTTGGTATGTCAACCGTTGTCAATGTCAGGGAGTGATTAAGGTTATGTGGAAAATGGGGAAGGTAAAATTTCTTAAAATTACGTAAACAAATTTAATTTTAATTTAAAAATAATGGTATGATTCATAATATGATTTTTAAAAATTTTCTTCAATTAAAACAGAAGTTCTACGTTTTCAGGTAAAAGATTTAAAAAATGGATAAGCTGGTATTCATTATAAAGCCCCCCATATTTTTATCAACATTTGCTGAAACCTTCAAAATATTAACAGCCAATTATTCGCTTAAAGTTGACCATGAAAAGTTAACAAGTGGTCCAGTAAAAGCATTAAACGATAAGATCAAACTTGGAGAACTAAAAAAAGATGATGTTCAATCAAAAGTGGCAATACAACTTCAAAGGGTTTGTGATAAGGTTGAAAAATATGCTCCGCCATCTCAAGGTTTTCTAGGTAAATTTTTTAAATCAAAAAAACCAACTGCCCCCAAGGGTCTTTATATTTATGGGGCTGTAGGAGGTGGTAAGACAATGCTTATGGATTTATTTTATAACAATTGTGATGTTGAACTGAAAACTAGAGTACATTTTAATGCGTTTATGGTAGATGTACACAAAAAAATGCATGCCTTAAAACAACAAACGGTTGTGGACTACTCCACTAGAAAACCAAAACCATTTGACCCAATCCCTCCAGTAGCAGATTCCATTGCTGAAAAATCATGGCTAATTTGTTTTGATGAATTTCAAGTAACTGATATTGCAGATGCAATGATTTTGAAAAGATTGTTTACACATTTATTTGATAATGGAGTTGTTGTGATAGCAACCAGCAACAGACCCCCTGAAGATTTGTACAAAAATGGGTTGCAAAGATCAAATTTTGTTCCCTTTATTAAAGTTCTAAAGGATCATTGTGAGGAATCCCGCCTGGACTCTGGAATTGATTATCGAGAAAGGGAAACTGGTGAAAAGACCAACTTTTTGGTAAAATCAAAATACAAATTGGACCCTATTATCCCAATATTTAAGTACTTAAGCTCAAAGGAAAACGACGTTGTGCGCAGCAAAACATTTAGAATTCTGGAAAGAAATGTAATATTCAGAAAAGTATGTGGTGGCATTCTAGACTCCACTTTTGATGAACTATGTGACAGGCCATTGGGAGCAAATGACTACCTTCATTTAGCACAATTTTTTCACACAATTATCATTCGCGATGTGCCTCAAATAAATCTAACCAAAATGAAATCACAAGCTAGGCGATTCATTACATTAATTGATGCATTGTATGATAACAAAATAAAAGTTATAATTTCCGCTGACGCGCCCATAAAACAACTATTTGTAGTAGAAAATAAACAGAATGATGATATCAGTGATGAGCACAGAATGTTGATGGACGATCTAAAATTGGGAGTAGGGGATGCAACTGCCAATGTCTTTACAGGAGATGAGGAAATATTTGCCTTTGATAGAACTAAATCAAGGTTAACTGAAATGCAAAGTGAGGATTATTGGGCCAAAAAAGGTTTTAAAGGTCAATAAAATAATTCCCATTTTGCTTATGTATTCAGTATTTAAACCAATGTTGTTTTCTTTAATTAATCAGTTAATTAATCTTTTGTATATATAATTTGTGTTTATTTTAATAATTGAAGGGCATTTGTACCTGGTATTTTAATAATTAATATTAAAGTGTTACCCATGTACCAAATATTTTATTTTGACAAAAAAAGTTATTATATTTTGAAGTTATTGGAAGCAAAGCTTCGCTTTGTTACATCACACATGATCTTAAAATTTATGATAACAACATTGGAAATTTAATTGTATTTTTAAAATTGTAAAATCTTTTTAATGTAGGTACATTAAAACTTTATTTATTTTATTGGTGTACAGTATTGTTACTTAAATTATTGTTTTTGTTTGAATAAAAAATTAAATAATTCACTGTTGTTTTAATGTTGCCATAGCCTTAAAACTTTATCCTTTCCACCTGAAGCAACTCTTTGACCATCTGTGGACCAATCAACTGCAAAAACTTCATCGGCATGTCCGGGAAGATCAATTTCCAGTTTTTTGTCTTTTAAATTCCATAACTTTAACGTTGAATCAGCGCTGCCACTAACCATCATTCTGGAATCAGCAGAAAATGAAACCATGTAAACTGCTTGAACATGTCCACGCAGGGTAGTTATAAATTTGCCCGTTTTTGCTTCCCATAACTTGATAGACTTGTCAAATGATGCAGAAGCTAAGATCCTTCCATCTGGAGAGAACTTTACATCATTTACAAGTTGTTGATGCCCTGTTAATCTAGCTAGCGGTTTTTTGTCTTTTTCAGGGTTCCAAAGAAATAGCGTAAAATCATCTGAACCTGACACCAATCTCTCACCATGAGCCTCAATTATTTCATGATACCTTTTCAGCGCAAATTCTTGAGATTTTTTTTTATCCGCGCAAATATCAATGTTTGAATCTTTGATAGGGTCAAAAGCGCCGATTTTTAAAATATAGTCCGTACTTAGAGCCAAAGTGTTAACCCAGTGCGCATGTCCCTCCAATGATCTACAAAGAACGCCATCTTTTGCTCTCCAGACTTTAACAGTTCTATCTTGAGATGCTGAATAAATTAATCCGGATCCACCCCATTTTACAACTGTCACACTCTTTGTGTGTCCAGAGATTGTTAACAGTGTGTTACACAATACTGTGTCCCATATCCTTACATCTCCATCTTTAGATGAACTTGCTAGATACCTAAAATATTTTTATTTATTTTTTATTGTTTTAAAAGCTTGTACATTGTACACAAGTTACATAAATGAGTTGATTTCCAAACTTATTATTCCAGATTTTAAAATTTTTCAAGCCAAATATAACTTTTGTTTAATTGAAAATCATATATACCATTTGTATGAAATCGGTAAAATTAAGTGGATTAAATTATTAAGTTTAAATAGTTCTGGCTCATAATTTAAACCTATTTCGATCCACATATTACTTCCCAGATAACCAAAGATTCTTGGGAAACCTAAAGAAACGCGTTGTCGGCAATAACAAGCTGGCACATTTCATGCAAAAGTAAGCCAATAAGTTGGAAGTCCAAAACATTTCCCGTCAGTTGCATGCAAACTGCAAGAAAAATGTTTCGGCCCAAGTTTGACACGTATTTCCAATAATTTCCGATTAACAGTTGTATTCAACAGAGGTGTAACCTACGGGCAACACATTTCCTAAAATACCTTGTTCGTCAGTTGCATGCAAACTGCAAGAAATTTGTTTCCGCCCAAGTTAGCCCCGTATTTTCAATAGTTTCTAGTCAACAATTGTATGCAACATAGGTGCAACCGACGGGAAACATATTTCCCACTATAAAGAACCGCGCTTGCGCGAGAGTCCCCACTACCGTTCAAGACTTGCCCACCAAAGTTTATCTCTGGTTTAGTCACAATTTGTTCTCTGCGAGTGTGTGTATACTTTTTCTATGGTGTGTACGACATATGGTGTACGAGGTTATTAATATAAACAAGAAATCTATCAGGTATGTTTTATGCTGTAATAGTTAGCTAGTAGCTATAGTTATACATATATATGTATATATATATATATATAAATATCTACGGCTTAACCATAAAAAACACTGCTAAAATAAAAAAGAATGCATAACAAATTCGATGATTTGTAAAATCACCGGGCGGAATAAAAGTCCGGCTGAATTCGTTCGGTCGGGGAATACCAGCATTACTAGATACGCTTGAAAACAGTAAATTAATAAAACTTGCTCTAATTTTTAGCCACTGAAATATTTAGCAATTTGTATTTTTATTAGGCCGATAAAGATACCGATGCCGATATACCAACAGAGATATCTTTATCGGTCGATCCCTATCTATATGCTTAAAATTGTTTCTTCTTTTAGATTGAAAATTGATCAATTTCGGTGTACCAATATCCATATGGAAAATTCAAAAAATCCTTTAAAAATAAAAAAGAAATATAAAAAAGGAACCAAGTCGTAAGTAAATTTTTAAATAATTTGTTATATTAAAGTGAAACTTCTTTCGGCACAGTACCTATAGATATATACACTGCGCGGCACAATTAACGCATAATAAGTAAAAAAATAAAACTCTAAAACGCCTTTACCAATCTTTATAAAATTTTGGATAATAATATATTATATATCAAATTTTATAAACGCCATTTTATGCACGAGTTTTATTAGGCACGAGCGAAGATTGCGAGCGAGTGTTTAATAAAAACGAGTGCCTAGAGATGTTTATAAAACGAGTTGCATACTATACTTTATCTACGATGAACAGAAATGAGAATTTAAAGCCAATTTTAATTTATAAATATTTGACATTTGACAAATTTAACCTCACTTTTTTGCAATTTATAATAACGCTGACTTCAGCCCGTGACTAAAACACCATGAAGTCACAGCTCTTCAATGTAGGAGTAGATAAAAATAATTATATCTCAGTTTACGTGTTCAAGGGTTTTTCAAAAAAATATCCGTAAAGCCCTTTTATTTAATAATAAAAAAACACTCGAAAAAAAACTTTTAAAGGGTTTTTTTTAAGTAAATAAAAAATATGCTGTGAAATACCGTATTTTTGTAAGTATACGCTGAAAATGTTGTACAAATCAAACGAACAGTAACGAAAATACAACGCTTCAAAGTCGTCTTTTCAGCAAAATAATCAAAAAGGGGTCATTTTTACCGACTTTAAAGCGCTGTATCTTTGTTACTGTTCGTTTGATTTGTACAAAATTTTCAGGGTATATTAACAAAAATACGGTCTTTAACAGCATATTTTTGGTTTACTTAAAAAAATATATTTCGAACATTTTTAATAAAAGGGCTATAAAAATATTTTCTCGAAAAACCCTCAAACACTTAAACTGAGATATAAGTTGAAGTATTCTTATACAAAATTTTATAAAGATTGGTAAAGGCGTTTAAGACTTAGAATTGTTTTACTTATTATGCGTTAATTTTGACGCGCAGTGTACATATGTAAAAAGCTTTGCTACCTATATAACACTCAGAGGCTGTAAAATGTAGGATATTTTGAAGATGTAGTTTTTTCTTTAAGTATTAAGTATAATTTTATAAGGGTTTTTATTCGAATTACATTAACTAATTTAAAATTTCAGAAGCTATTATAATAGCTATTATATATAGGTAATAGCTGTAATTTTAAATTAATCATAGCTGTAATTTTAAATTAATCAATTAATTTAATTCGAATAATAACCCTTATAAAATTTAAACTGAATGAACTTTATTAATTATTTAACCCTATATATATGAATTTTATTGCAATTTCAAATGAATTGTTTTATGTAGGTAATCGGCGTTCTCGCGAAATTTTGGATAAAAATACTTATATCTCATTTTACGTGTACGAGGGTTTTTCGAAAAAATATTTTTAAAGCCCTTTTATTTAATAATGAAAAAACGTTCAAAAAATAACTTTTAGAAATTTTTTTTTCGAAGTAATTAAAAAATATGCTGTTAAAGACCGTATTTTTGTCTTGATTATTTTGCTGAAAAGTGGTCATTTTTGACGACTTTAAATCGCTGTATCTTCGTTACTTTTTATTTGATTTGACAAAATTTTCAGGGTATACTAACAAAAATACGGTCTTTAACAGCATATTTTTTATTTACTTCGAAAAAAAAAATTCCTAAAAGTTATTTTTTGAACGTTTTTTCATTATTAAATAAAAGGGCTTTAAAAATATTTTCTCGAAAAAACCCTCAAAAACGTAAACTGAGATATAAGTTAAAGTATTTTTATCCAATATTTCATAAAGATTAATAAAAGCGTTTTAGAGTTAGATTTTTTTACAGTTGTTGTAATAATTATGGCCAATACTATATGTTACAGCTAATGTGCAAACTTGGATAGTTTATAAACTAGCTGGATAGTTTATAAACTAGCCAAACTGTCAGCTATTTTAATTAAAAATGTATTTTCAACTAAATTAGCGGCTAGTTTACAAATTAACAAAGGATCTTGGCTAATTTACTTGAATTTATTAGGGAAACTAAAATAGCTGGATAGTTTGTATACTATCCAATTCAATTTGGCTAATATAAAAACCAAAATTTCTAGTAACACAAAATAGCCAAGCTTTAGCTAGTTTGTAAACTAACCAACTAATTCTCTGTCTATTGCCCATTTTAGTTGGGTTTTTTGCCCAATGGGGCGGGGTCGTTTGGGGTTGTGTTGTTGAGTTTGGGTTGGTTTGGGTTTTTGTCTCTCATTTCTGACCATTTGACCAATGGGGCGGGGTCGGTAGGGTTGTGTTGTTGAGTTTTCTAACAAAGAAGCGTTAAAATTTTGCCTATGATTTATTTTAAAAACTAAAATGCACAAAACAAATCCGGTTAAGCCGGCAAAACGAAAAACAATGCCGTAACCTCACTTTTTTAATAAATTAGCCAGAGAATTGGTGGGATAGTTTACAAACTAGCTAACGCTTGGCTATTTTGTGTTACTAGAAATTTTGGTTTTCATATTAGCCAAACTGAATTGGATAGTATATAAACTATCCAGCTATTTTAGTTTCCCTAATAATTTCAAGTAAATTAGCCAAGATCCTTGGTTATTTTGTAAACTAGCCGCTTATTTAGTTGAAAATACATTTTCAATTAAAATAGCTGACAGTTTGGCTAGTTTATAAACTATCCAAGTTTGCACATTAGCCATAACATATACATTATTATTTATTATATTAAAACACACTTTTTAACCAGAAAACTTTTTAAAAGTAATTTTTTATTTAACCAGGTATGGCTACGTCATAATCCAACGAAACAATTGTTAATTACTCCACTTTTTAGGACATATTAATATACAATGATATTTACTTATTTTTATTGGTAATTTTGTTCTAAGGTAATTATCGGGCCAATTTTAAGTCGAAAAGTTTATATTTATTAAATAAATGTCCTAAACATTAAATGTTTGAAGAATCTTTTTTAAGTTTTAACTTAAGGAAAACATTTTTAGAGGTCACTGAAGAGTTTTGAAAATGAAAAAAAAGTCAAAAATGTTAGTACACGAAATATGAATAAGTGTTTTAAAGTTTTATGATTTAAATTTAAAGTAAATTAAAAATTAGGTCTTAATTAATATTTAAAAATTAGTGTAAACCTCAAAAGCAATGAAGATTACCCATTTTCCGTGTAGAAAAATTTACCGCAGTGAGCAAAAAAATAAAACAAAAAAATCGATTTTTGACTATTTTTGGAATTTTTAAAATTCTTGAGCGACCTGTACATTCTACAAACTTGGAGAGGAATGTTGCCACCCTAATATATAGTTGACATTAAATCATTATAATATAACTATAGTTGACATTGAATCATTACCGACAGGATATAATTCAAAGGAAGCCGAATTACTAAATATCGAATTAAAATGAAAGTTCGTCCAGTCAAACATGAATGTCCCAAATGGCGCCCTTCCAAAAACAGACTTCAAATCACGAGAGATTACCGCCGAAAACGCTTAGCAGCTTTTAAACAAAATACAGCAAAAGAAAATGCACAGTCACCCCATAAAAAAATTAAAAATGTTGCACAAGCAAACCGCGATAAAACCTTATTGCCTGTCAAAGGTATCGAAATAAATCCTTTGTTGAATAGCGACGTAAACGACATATCCATTGATCGTTTGGAAGGCATTTCTGAATTGCCTACTTTTTCACATCAGGAAACAAATATTCATCAAATATCTTCGAATTACATAAAATCTAAAGAGTCTTATCAGAATTTTCTCGCAAAAGAAATGTTAAAGGCGAAAATGTCGCACGTGCAAGTAAAATGCGTTCTTCGCATCATGCGAATGCACGAGTGTCTGAAGTATCTTCCAGCTGATTCAAGAACGCTTTTAGGAACTCCACGTGTTTCACCCAATATATATTTAGTTTTGCCAGGGGAGTATTTGCATATAGGCGTTGAAAAGGCTTTAAAAATAAGCCTTTCTTCATATGAAGTTGACAACATCTCGGAAACGCTTTTAGTTGATATTCATTTGGATGGAGCCCAGGTCCATAAAGTAGGTACGGAAAAAATTTGGCCTATTCAATGCAGAATATCTAATCTTCCCAAGAGCCAACCAGAACCGATCGGTATTTATAAAGGTAATCACAATCCAGAAAGTTCCGAAGATTACTTTAAATTTTTAATACAAGATATCAATGAAATTGAAGAAAAAGGAGGAATTGTATTCAAAGACAAACTTTTTTCTGTTAAATTAAGGTGTCTAATAGCAGATGCCCCGGCACGAGCTTTCATCTTAAATCATGCGGGACATAATTCCTTGGTCCCTTGTTCAAAGTGCAAAATTGTTGGCAAAAGGGTAGGTTATTATACAGTTCTAAAAGGCACAAATCATCCACCAAGGACGCATGATGAATATACGTCACGGGTTGATCAGAATCATCACCATTTAGGCACAAGCCCCATTTCAAAATTGCCATTTAACATGGTTGAAAGCGTTGTTTTTGATTATATGCATTTGGCCTGCCTCGGTATTATGAAAAAACTCCTTGAAACGTGGGTTCTTGGAAAATATACAAAAATAACACATTTGACGGAGAATGAAAAAAAAATTGTTAATAAAAGATTGGAAGCAATTTCCACCTTTTGTCCAAAAGAATTTTCTCATAGACCAAAAACACTTACTAAATTTTCTACTTTGTTTAAAGCAACAGACTATCGTCAGATAGCACTATATTCAGGGCCTGTCATCTTTAAGGGAATATTAAAGAACTTCGCATACCAACATTTCTTACTGTTTCATGTTGCAATGAGAATTCTTGTTTCTTCAAATTCAAATAAAATACTTCAAAATTTTGCCGAAACAATATCGAAATTTTTCGTGACAAACTGCGAAGAAATTTATGGACCCATTTTTTTATCGTACAATATTCACGGGTTCTTGCACCTGACTGACGATGTCCGAAGATTTGGACCTTTAGATTCATTTTCTGCTTTTCCGTATGAAAATAAAATGAGGTATTTCACTAGTATGTGTCGCAGACCTGGTGTTACATTGGAACAAATGGCAAACAGACGAGCAGAACACGAAAATCATAACGTAAATTTTGCCGAGAAGCTGACCAAAGCTACGTTCATAGAACTGAAATCCAGACATAGTGCTGGCCCGGTTCCTGAATCATTTAATGAATATTGTCAGTACAAAACACTGATCACCCAATCTTATCACTTTGATTGTACTAAGAGAAATCGCTGCTGTATTTTAAATGACTCGACTATTTGTCTAATTTATAATATTCTTGTAAAGAATAGCGAATATCTCCTTGTTGTCAAAACTTTCAAGAACATTTGTGATTTCTTCGATGTTGGTTTTCCGTCTTCGAGCTTCGGTGTTTATCTTTGTGGAGATATAACTGAGGACTTATCAGTTATCTCCTTCACTTCTGTTGTTGGTAAATGTTTTCTCATGCCCATTCTAGATAATAATAGCAGGGATTCTGAAAGCGAAGACAGTGAAGCTGACGACTTAACGATTAATGGGTATGTCGCTTACGTAATTTTGTAAAAAAAAACATGCTGTGCATATTTAAATTGCTGTTCTAAAAGCTGTAGTAAGGCCTTCACCGGATATGAGGTTTGTAAATGGCTGTGTAAGTAAACAATTGTTCATTTTCTAATACCAGGTGATAGACGTCTGGTATTTATTTTATTTTAATTATTTTTCATAGAACACGTAACTTTCTTAATCAATATACATATGCCCACATTTAAATTTTAAACCCACCTTGGTAATTATCCAAATTTCCCATGATCATTATTACCTTCTTAATTTTTAATTTTGACATTGGCTCTTTTTATTAGCAAGGGTACAATCAAGAACAATACAAAACTTCTTGGGTAAAATATTTTATTTACAACCGTATATTTTGTAAGTATACTTACTATAGTCTCTTTTTTTATTCGGAATTTGACGTCAAAAATTTGGGGGTTTAGTTGGCAAATTCTGGGACCCTACATTTATAATTGGCTACATTGAGTAAAACAAACTTGTTTAGTGGTTATGTTATAATTATAATAATGTTTATAAATTTTGAAATGTTAAATATAAGTTGTCAAACAGTGCAATTACTTTCCCTTTGATGAAATACAGGTGATTTTACGGCCCAAAAGAGTCAAAATTGCATTCCCAGAGTACAATTGTATTTAAATGTCAAAGTATTAAAAATTAAGGGCTTGAACAGGCCTCCAGAGTATCAATTTTAAATTTATATTATTTAAAAAATACCAAAGTATATTAACATAGTAATTAACATAATATACTTTGGTATTTTTAATATTTAAAATTGGTAAATTTTTTGTAGATTTTAAAACAATCCACACAACAAGGTCTGTTCGATCTCGTAGTAAAAATACTAAAAATCACTGCAACACTGCACATCATTTAATGGCGGCCATTTTTGTTGTTCACAATTCTTGTGCTTTGGGTTTGTACATTTTACTCCTCTTTTGTAAAAAATAAACCTTATTCTATCAGCGCTGTCAAATGTCAATTTAAAGGTTAATTTGTGGGTTATAAAATATCCTTAAAATTGACATTTGACAGTTTGATGACAGCCTTGATAGAATAAGGTTTATTTTTTACAAAATTTTGTAAGAGGAGTACAATGATTGTTCTTACCACTTTGAGGTCTCTTTTAAGGCCTCTTTTAAGGCTTGCAAATCTCTCTGTAAGAAACTCAACGTTTAAAACGATTATTAATATATACAAACCCAAAGCACAAGAATTGTAAACAACAAAAATGGCCACCATTAAATGATGTGCAATGTTGCAGTGATTTTTAGTATGTTTAGTACGAGATCGAATAGACCTTGTTGTGTGGATTGTGGATTATAATACCTACCGTTGAGTGAAGAATCAATGATAATACCAACTTAATAAAATGTGTCAATTTCCGAATAAAAAAAAGAACTTTAAAAATTTCTGACGTTTCAAAAGTTGGAAACTGATGTTTTTTTAAGCTAATGGACCTTTACCAGTTTACTTTCCTACAGTGAATAAAATTAAATCTTATAAAAAGGTTGATGGTTGTAAATAAAATCGTATACAAACCTTGGTAGGAAGTTTCATTCCTGTCACGAGATTTTTCAACCTCGGCGATTCGCGTCTCAGTAATGAAACACTTCCCACCTCGGTATGTAATATACTATTGTCGAACCATAACAGAAGTAAAAATTTCGAATTCAAATTCAAATTCTAAAAAATATTGTATCCTTGCGAACTTTTTTTCCTAGTTATTTTTGTATGAAGTTTCAATATTTGTATGCAGGCGTACGCGAGAAATAACTAAACCAGAGCGCTACGCCACTACTGAAGAAGAGAGTATGCCCCTTAAAAGAAAAAAGAAGAGAATTTTGTCGGATGAGACATTATTAAAAAATTCCACCAACATGATGAGGTCTATTAAGGAAATTGCCAAACAACAATTCCCACAGAATATTTGTCCGCCATCCATAGGCATTCCAATATCTCTTCCTGAAAAATCTCTCAACTCGGCTATTGCAATTGCCCATCCTTCTCTCGGACCGCCTCCATTTCCATTTAGTAATATTGCCTCCTCTTCATGCATTTCAATGTCTTCTGAAACATCTCTCACCTCAGCTCGTGTAAATGCTCATCCTTATCTCGGACCGCCTCCATTACCATTGAGTAATATTGCCGCGACTACCAGTTCTCTCTCTCCTTCTGAAACATCTCTTACCTCGGCTGGTTTAAATGCTCATCCTTATCTCGGACCGCCTCCATTACCATTGAATAATATTGTCGCGACTACCAGTCCTCTCTCTCCTGCCTTTAATTTCACAGACATAAACAATTTGTTAGCACCAACCGATGTGACCTTTGCCAGCCTCTCACATGATCCATCCACATTTGCAGAGGAGCAAATTATTCAAATTCATGCTCTTGGAAATGAAAATTCCAAGAGGGATGAACGAACAGAAAATTCTGACGAACATTCGGAGCACATCAGGAATGACAAGGTCGTTTTAAATTATTTAAAGAGAGAATTTCGGTAAGTGAATTCACTTACAGTCCGTTCAGGCTAAATTGATCGCTTTGGGGGGATCATGTGGCCGTTTATTAAATTAAATATCGAATCGTCGCGTTTGTTCGTACAGAGAGGCTACCAAAATACATGTATTTAATTGTGCCTGAACATAGAGATAATGGACGGCTTGACATTCCTTAGACCGCTCAACTTAGCCTGAACGGACAGTAGGTACTTAAGTTTTGCTGTGTTAATTCTTTACAGATAAATAATCGTAAAAATTCCTCTTAAAAATTAAATTAGGCTTTATTTATTTTTATTATTAATTTACATTAAAAATAAAGCCTAATTTTTACTTCATTCCAGTTGAAACAATTAAAATTACTGATAACCAATAATTCCTTCGTTACAGAAAAATTCATGTAAGAATGGATTCCTTTGAACGGCTTCTTTCAAGGCAAATGCGCAGGGATATGCCCAGAAAACCTTCTATATTACCTTTTAAAAGTATAGAAAATATAATAAATTTCACCGACCAACATGATCAATTCCAATCTGTAGTAAGTATCTGTGTATGCGTACATTAAATCTGCATTTTTGCGAAAAATATTGTGATTGAATTATCATAATTAGGTAATATGATAATAATATAGTATATTATATTACATTAAATAATATATACAGTGTGTCTACTTAAGTTGGCAACATATGGGAAACTTTCTTATTATTAATTTTACGAAAAAAAGTTGTTATATTTGTTATAAAAAGTTCTGCATGTTCTAAAATCTAAAATACAATCATCATATATCAAATTTAGGAATACCTATACGAATAAAATATGAATTTGGTACAAGAAACTTAAGTACCTTTATTTGTGACAATATCGAAAACTGTAATTATGAAAAGTTGTTCGGAATGAAAAACTATGTTTTAATATGCAATTACTTCCTTGTACCATGTGTTGCCAACTTAAGTAGACACACTGTATATATATATATATATATATATAATACAAATAGAAATATATATATATATATATATATATATACAGTGCGTCCCACTTAAGACCTTACCACCCTTGTGAAATTTGCATTTTTGAACCGATTTTCGTAACTTTTTTTTGTTGGATAGAAGTTTGAAAAGTTTGGAACCACGTAAAACCACACTATACCAGTTTTTATCGCTCTTAAATACAGGGTGTCCCAGCTAGGCATTTTTTCATTTTTTGATAATCAAAAAAGTGACGTGAATAAACACATTTATTGGATATTTTCATATTACCAAATGCTTTTCAAGTAACGACTAAATTTACCATAGTGTAGTCTAACCATATGCATATACCTATAACTATACTGCCCTACTATTGAGAAAGGCAGTAACTGCTAAAGTTTAGCAGCTAAACAATAAATTTGTGGAAAATTAGCATAAACTACATTTTTATAAAAAGCGTAGGTATTTAATTGATTTTTTTAACATGAGATATTTGACTGCATTTCTGTGTTGAATTCGGTTGCAGTTACTGCCTTTCTCCATAGTAGGTTTCTCCATAGTAGGGCAGTATAGGTATATGAGTCTAACAAACATGTGCATAAAAAATATCAATTTATTAATTAAAATATGACTGAAGAAATTGCCATTTAACCATAAATAATTAAATTCTATTAATTAAACAAATTATGCCACGGAAAACAAAAAATTGAAAAAATTTCAACGACTACTGTCACTTTCATTGTCACTGTCTCTGATTTACTTGCTTTGTAGTGCTTATCAAAAGTATACTTTTATACATGTTTTGATTTCTAAACTCATGGCCAACTGTGATCTCTTTTTGGGGTCGAAATTTTGAAAAGTACTATTAGAGATTTTTTGGAGCAAAATTAACGGATTCCTCTACACTATACCATTTTTTATCGATCTTCCCAGCCGGTATAATTATTAATTTTAAAATTAAAATTAAAAATTTTCCCAGCTGGGACACCCTGTATTTAAATTTATTCTTAATTAAGAGCGATAAAAAATGGTATAGTGTGGTTTTAAGTGGTCCAGAAGAGGAATCCGTTGTTAATTTTGCTCTAAAAAATGGTACTTTTCAAAATTTCGACCCCAAAAAGAGATCACAGTTGGCCATGAGTTTAGAAATCAAAACATGTGACATATATGCATATGCGTTTAAAGCAATTTTCAGCGGGCTATCCCGCGTACACCAACCACGGCGAAGTAATAAAGGTTACACTGAGGTTAATTCTCTTACCGCTAGCGTTAATAAATTATTTTTATTTTCCAGATTGATTATGGGGCCTTTATAGGTGGTGACACGTTAAAAGACCAAATTCATAACCTCTTCAAGGAGTTCATCTGTGACGAGTTATGTACCCAGTTTACATGGTGGGGGGATGAGCAAGGAATTCATCCCCTTTACAACTCTGGAATTGTTAGGGCAATTTTTGGTATGTTACATGATGTTTTATACAAACTAAACATATGTTTATTGCTAAACATATATTTATTGCAGGAGCTGTGTGTACCAATAAGAACTTCTCACCACCAACGCGAGTTGAACTCCAAAGAGAGGTAACGGCGAGTCTCAAAGTGGCAAAACAGCGCCACCGTAATGCCGCTAAGCGTCGAGATCCAACCGCAAATGACAATGACAATGAAGATTCCATAAGGCGGCGCCGGATTGAAGCGGATAATTTGTACAATATTAATTAATATTATAAATACTTAAGTACAACATTTTTATTTTTATTTTATTTATTTTTTTTTATACTTAAGTATATATTTTAATATAAAGGTACACAAAATTTTGTACTTAAAAGTACAAAATTTTGTGTACCTTTATAAATATTTAGAATATTTTATTTTTTTGTAAATATAGGTTTTTTATATAAATATTTAGAATGTTATTTTTTTGTAAATATAGGTATTTATATAAATATTTAGAATATGTTATTTTTTTGTAAATATAGGTATTTATATAAATATTTAGAATATTTTTTTTTTTTGTAAATATAGGTTTTTTATATAAATATTTAGAATATGTTATTTTTTTGTAAATATAGGTATTTATATAAATATTTAGAATATTTTATTTTTTTGTAAATATAGGTTTTTTATATAAATATTTAGAATATGTTATTTTTTTGTAAATATAGGTATTTATATAAATATTTAGAATATTTTATTTTTTTGTAATTATAGGTTTTTTATATAAATATTTAGAATATGTTATTTTTTTGTAAATATAGGTATTTATATAAATATCTAGAATATTTTATTTTTTTGTAAATATAGGTTTTTTATATAAATATTTAGAATATGTTATTTTTTTGTAAATATAGGTATTTATATAAATATCTAGAATATTTTATTTTTTTGTAAATATAGGTTTTTTATATAAATATTTAGAATATGTTATTTTTTTGTAAATAAAGGTATTTATATAAATATTTAGAATATTATATTTTTTTGTAAATATAGGTTTTTTATATAAATATTTAGAATATGTTATTTTTTTGTAAATATAGGTATTTATATAAATATTTAGAATATTTCATTTTTTTGTAAATATAGGTTTTTTAATAAAACGACGTTTGAACAAATTCGAGTATGAAAATTTACGCCTAACCCTCTTGTTAAAATAACAATACCAATAAATGAGGCATTACTGAATTTGGTGGCAATTTGCCGATACCGTATCTGAAATTAAAATGAATAAATAAACGAAGCGTTGAGAACCAGAGTGGCCTAACCCACAAATGTTTTTCCTTATATGGTGTTAACAATCATTTTAGGACAATATATAAATAGATATATATTAGGGTGTTTTTTTTTCGGGATTGAAAAAAAGTTTGTTTAAAAAAGCACCCTAATATATATATATATATATATATACGAGCCCTAACCACATAATGTTCGGACACTTCATAATTTATACAGAAATTTTTTTCGTGAATACTATCTCAAAATTATTAGAAGTTATGAAAAATTCAGCTTATTTTGGCATATACCCCTCGAAGCGATTTTTATTTTTAAAAAGTTTACCTTTTATTTTTAGCTTTTAAAAAAAGGCTAACTTTTTAACTTTTTTTTGTATGAGTAAAAAAAGTTATAAATGGACCCATTAAAAAGAGCATAAAATATTATACAAACCCTGAAAATTTGGTAAAAAATAAATAAGTTATAAAAAAGTATAAGTAATTTAAAAATGCTATTTTTAAAGAGTTTTTGCAATTTTCTTAGGAAACGGGAGATTTTGCAGATATATATATAGCTATAACTTTCTTATTATTTATACAATTTTTACCAAATTTTCAGAGTTTGTATAATATTTTATGTTCTTTTTAATAAGCCCATTTATAACTTTTTTTACTCATGCAAAAAAAAGTTAAAAAGTTTGCCTTTTTTTAAAAGCTAAAAATAAAAGGTAAACTTTTAAAAAATAAAAATCGCTTCGAGGGGTATATGCCAAAATAAGCTGAATTTTTCATAACTTCTAATAATTTTGAGATAGTATTCACGAAAAAAATTTCTGTATAAATTATGAAGTGTCCGAACATTATGTGGTTAGGGCTCGTATATATTGTCCTAAAATGATAGTTAATCCCATTTAAGGATAAACGTTTGTGGGTAAGGCCACTCTGGTTCTCAACGCTTCATTTATTTATTCATTTTAATTTCTGATTCGTTATCGGCAAATTGACACCAAATTCAGTGAATTCGAATAGGTAAATCATTTCCTATCCGTTGCCCAAAATCAGTATAGGCAAAAGGTTTCCAGTCGATTGCTGGTGCGTTGCCAACAATAAGTATACGCAAAAGGTTTCCCATTGGTTGCTGATGGGTTGCACACAATAAGTTGGCATGAAACGTTTCCGCTAATAGACCCGTATATTGTCCATAATAAGTATACGCAAAATGTTTCCCGTCGGTTGCCGGTGGGTTGCACACTATAATTTGTCAGGAAACATTTCCGCCTATAAACTCTTATGTTGTCTACAATAATTATAAGCAAAAGGTTTCCCGTCGGTTGCCGTTGGATTGCACACAATATGTTGTTAGAAAATATTTTTGCCTACAGACAGTCAAATGGTGGCACCCACTTGACAGCAAACGGCTACCATATCAAGAGAACGAATAGTAGGCAACTGACCGACAAACGGACGGACGCTGGTTATCTGGGTTCTCAAGATGAGTTAAACTCGAGGTTAAACTACCACAGAGTGTAAACTACACTGCTTACTTAGAGTTTTGATGCTAAGGATTTAAGAGTAAACTCTTGCAAAACACTACTACTCTTTAAAAAAATTAATACCTCAATGATGTTTCTATGATTTGAGTAATCATAGATACACCGCTGCAATTCCCAGCCTTCACGTCGTGCGGAATCATGCGTGACGGTAAAAACGCTGCGATATGATATTCATTTTATGATTAATGGGAATACACGGACGTGATTGGTATATGAGGGCATAAAGTGATTGCAAACTTTTCACTTTTGCTGAATAGTTATCGCAAAATTGTAGATGTAATACTAGATCTACACTACATCTTGCGAAAATTGTTGATTTTACTTCATATTATAACTAAAATTTTCAAAAAATTGACTTACACCATATGGTTAATTTGTGAAAAGACTGGATTTGCCAAGACTAAATTTGTAGACTACATTTGTATAAAAAAAATATACATAATTTTATTTGGAATTCCAAATTGGAATTGGAGTTAACACGCTGATCTTAAGATCACGTTTATAAATTAATTTATCATTAATTTATTCATGAATTTGTAAAAAGATGTACCTATCTTTTAATTTAATTTTAATTAAAATAAGATATCATTCTATAAATGTAGACAATTGTCACAAAAACTAAAATAAATAACTTAAGGAAAAAGATCTTTTGGATTATTACTTATTGACCAATATTTCGCAATAAATCAATTTTATGAATGATAAACAGCTGAGTTTTGGACTTCACAGCAAACGGAAAATTATAGAAGTGTATAGGATAAGGCCACGTTTGAATATTGTTTTCTAAATCTCCCCACGGTATAGAGTTGTATTCGTCAGTCGAGCGTTTCAATACTCTCCACAGTATAGAAGTCGTAATTTCACTTTTGAACTAGTATTAAAATGAAAACTATTCTATGCTTAAAAAAAAACTATATACGACATGATTTTTTTCATTTTATTAATTAATTAAACTGTGTTGAAAATTTTTCCTAAAGGAATAATTGCCAATGGGCCATTAATTCATTTGTTCGTAGATGCTACAATAACCTGCACTGGTGTATACTTTTTGATCAACCAGATTTAAATACTGCTGAACTAACATAAAACTTCCAGTGGAGATGTGCAGGATCTACCAACAGACCTCATTACTAAATTATTAAAGTTTAATAGCATATCAATCATTTTTTCAACATAACCTCTGAAATTTTTAATACAAATATAGGTACTTTATACAGGGGCGTGCTGGGCCGCCGGGACACCGGGCGAATGCCCGGTGGCCTGCGCTACCATGGTGGTCTGTTGGACTTGTTATGGTATGCAAGTAGAAAAAAGATTTTTATACCAAACAAAAAGTTTTTTCAAGTTATATTATTAAACACTAAATATAAATTTTAAAAAAAGAAAGTTTTAATTTACTCCCGTAAAAAAATCTAAAACACGTATTTTTTATGCTAACCCTTAACCAAGAAGTCGCAGGTGGAAACCCTAAAGCGTGGGGATATTTTGGATGCTTCCGTAATTATTTTTCCGTTTCTTTGGAAATCCAAATTGATCCGGGGCCACTTTGATGAAATGCAATTTTAGTCAATTTATAAATTATCGGAAGGGAGAATCAGCTCGGATTTATAGAGAAACAGAAACATAATTACAAAAGCATCCAAAAAAGCCCCCTCTCGCAGTTTTTATCTTGATTTATTTGTGACAGTGATGGGTCATTCCACGTTACTCGGTAATTTTTGTCCCGCCCGTCACAATTAAAAATTGTGAGTAAAAACCACAAGTTATAAAATTAATATTTTATAATATTATTTTTATTGTGGTTATAACTTATTAAAAGCATAATAAAACAATATTTTTAAATAAATTTTATAACGTGTAGTTTTTACTTACATTTTTTAATTGTGACGGGCGGGACAAAAATCCCTGAGTAACGTGGAATGACCCTGATGTAACCGATACATTTTTTTCAGTATCTAGGTACCGATACAGATACTCTCTGGTAGATGTATCTGGGTACAGATACCGATACATTTTCCCAAAAGTATCTGGGTACAGATACAGATACATTCAAAAAGTATCTAAGTTACTTTCAGATACTATGTTAAAAAAACTTAAAAATTAAATGACAAAAAAAATTTTTTTCGACCTTATAAACAAGCGTGTTAACTATAAAATAAAACTGTTTTGATAAAATTGACGAAATATCCATGAAAAACGGAAATAAATTTTATATTTACTCGCCATATGAAAGCTTACTACAAAATTTGTAGTACAAATTCAAAATTATCAGAAGGAAGAAAAGCCAACTATAGGTAACCTACAGCGCTTTTGTTTAACTTTACTCACTAGTGCCTAAGAGTTACTTTATGCACTTCGCACTCCAAAGACTTTGGACCAAAGTGGGTTGAAGGGAAAAAGAAATAATATCTTTTTATTATTTGTGTAGATACTAAAGTAGATCCTGATTTTTTTAAGTATCTTGATACGTATCTAGGTACATAAAATGTATCTAGATCCAGTATCTAGATACATATGTATCTCGATACATTACATCACTGATTTGTGATAATACTTTCCTTTAATATCAGTGTGAAGTGACGTAAATTTGGAAGCTTTTATGCTGATTGCTGTGGAGAGAAAGGTGCAAAATGGTTTAGATTGTGACTTAATAATTGAACTAGCTGAAAACAGTTCTTTGTTGCGAAGAGAGTTATCACGGGACGTTTTAACAGTCGAGGTATTTAATTGTGATGTATTTTTACAATTAATATAAAATTGGCTTGTGCCTGGACTGCTCTACCATCTAGTCCAGGCCTGCATTGATTCAGCCAGCACGCCCCTGACTTTATATAATACATAAATATACTTTACATCATATCCTCTGTGCTTTACATACCTGAGTTGTAACAGTAAATAAAAATCAGACAAAGGAACCAAAGAAAGGAATTATTTTCAACAAAATCATATGCAGAAATGAGAATAATTAAACTACTTGCATCCATCAAAAGATTAAAACTTCTTGCAATATTACACCCTCTTTTTATACTCTCAGAAATATTGACTAGAATAGTATTAGAGAGTCTCCAGTTTCTATAACTTGGTAGAGTAAAGAAAAGTCGAAACCGTTGCGATATTGCATTGCGCTGTTTTTGTATAATTCTCGGGGACATTAACGAAAATCATTGCCAGTAAAATTCGAAAAGCTTGAGTTTCTATGTCTCTGAAGAGAATAGGAATCCGAAGTTGCTGCACCATTGGACTGAACCCTTTTTTAATAATTTCTAGAGACATAAATGACTGCACCATTCGACAGGGTCGAGTTTCTACCTCTCAGTTGAATATAGAAAATCAAAATAATGTATCTTGTAAGACACCATTGAGTTTGACTTTAAATATAGTCGTGCATAGGTATAGAGCCGAAAAATATAAAAACAAAGCACGATTCAATACAGTTATGATAAAACTTTAAGATTTGATATTCAAACGCGGAGTCATCCTATACACTTCTATAATTTTCCGTTTGCTGCACATGTGTTGCCTAGTCTTCATTTGATTGTTTTTCTTAAGAAAATTACAACGTTTTACAACGTTTTTATTAGTAATTATCTCTAATGCTCTTCAGATTTATTATTATTTAATTAAAGATAATTACTAATCGAAACGTAAGAAAAACAATTAAGGCAATGCAAGTCCAAAATTCACCTGTTAATCAAGTCCAGGAAAATTTCTTCAACCATCACATGTGCTGGCTATATGAACCTCAATTGATGACGCAAATGATGCATATATGTGACATACGTGCGGATTAAGAATCACGTTGTGACTGCAATATGCGTCAATTAAGAACCTCATAATGATATCTGGGTTGTTGAATAGTTCTGGCTCATAATTTAAACCTATTTCAATCTACATATTACTTTTCAAGATTAGTTAAACTACCACAGAGTGTAAACTACACTGTTTACTTGGAGTTTTGATGCTAAGGATTTAATGTCTAAGAGTAAACTCTTGCAAAATACTACTACTAAAAATTAATACCTCAATGATTTATATCAACATAGTTTAATTAAGTCAGAATTCGTAAAACGTATCGTTAAAACTTGAAAATTTTGTGACCTTTTGTTAAACAATGATTACTCAAATCATAGATACACTGCTGCAATTTTTCTTGAGCAGTCCAGAAACAACATGATGATTTTCTAGAAAATTTGGAGAAGCTCAGAGCTTAAACCGGCTGCACAATAGCCCGGTAACGGGAATCTGAACAGTAAAGGTGGGAGAGACTAAGAAAACACTGTTGATGTGTTTGCTGAGTCTCTCCCACCTTTGCCATTTAGGTTCCCGTTATTGATACCTGGCTCTTGTGCAGCTGGCTTTACTCTGCTCTAGATTTAAACAACAAAAACCCCTAAAAACAATCATAAGGGACCATATTTAGAATTTTTGGAGTAAATGGACTAGTGATGGGTCCAACCAGCACATTCTTGTGTGCTAGCACACGCTGCACAGCACACTACAGTGTGCGGCACTGTGCGTGTCGTACATTTGTGCGGGGTGGGGAAAATGATTCAAATTGAGAATCTCGCACGTTGCACAGCTCACCACACTGTGCGTGTCGTATCCAACTGTCGGTTTTGGATTTTTAATTGATGTAAAATCCAGTTTTATGTTTATTATTAAAGTCGATAAATACAATTTTAACTTAAACCCTTTTTTGATAAGAGGCAATTTTATTTTAATAAAATTATAATATAGACCGTGTTGCCATCTATGGACATCACGATAAATTATGGATTGGATATTTTCCAAGATATACAAACTGTTAATTATATAAAATAATTTCTTTACAACTTGTAACCTATTGTAGTGCCATCTATGTGTTCTGTGCTGAATCATAGAGTCAAAGACACATACGTAAAGATTCTTTACTAAAGAGCCATCATAGAAATAACACTCCAGTGTTATTTCTATGAGAGCCATAGGTTAGATAAAGAGCAGTGCTGTGTCAGCGCACCGTGCCACATATGATAAAGGTGCCTTTTTTTATCTCTGGGTGCTATGTGCTGGTAGCACATTTAAAAAGAGTCGTACCAGCTCCGCACACAAAAAAGTGTCGTACATTATGTACGACTCGCACATGTGCGACCCATCACTAAAATGGACCTTATATCCAGGTTTTCTTCTCAGGGAGGTCAAAACATTTTCTGTGGAGTAGTTTTTGCACTAGCCTCATAAGATTTAACTTTACTATGGTAATTATAAACTTTGATTAGAGGACAAATAATTCTGAAAATGTTGCTTTTTATGAATCTAATATTAGTTAATTTTTAGTGATATATTTAATAAATTACCTACAACTTATAAATATAAAATATTTCACGACTATTTCTACAAATACCTACTGAAAAAAATATAATACCTAATAGAATAGTATTTACCTGCAGTCTGTATTTTTATGGTAAGGCTCCCAACTAAGAGAAGTTACCCACTGTCTGTGCCCCAACAAAGTTTTCCCTATTTGCTTCCCAGTATTAGGATCCCATATAATAATCTTTCCATCTTTGCATGCTGATGCCAATTTAGAACTGTCAGGTGACCATGCAATACACAAAACCCAATTTTTGTGACCACTGCAAGTGTGATAAGGTGTTTGTGTATTTACATCCCAAAACCTTACAGTTGTATCGCCAGATCCACTGGCTAAATACTTTCCGTCAGGGCTAAAGCTTACAGATATAACTGCTTCGGCATGACCTGGCATAGAACTTGTACATCTTGTTACAGGTCTAACTCTAAACACTGCCTGTTGGTGGTAAACAATATCAACAACTTCTTCTGTGTTTATTGTGGATAAATCCAAAGTTTTTTCGAGGGTATTTGTAACTTCATTTTCATTTATATAAAACAAATAGGGAGAAGGGTCTTGTTTTTGAAGAAACGCGTTACAAATTAACGTTAACTCATGTGTAGATGTTGTGACAGGAAGATCTATCATATCCCCAGTCACTTCTCCCGTTTCGTTCACCAAACGGCATAATATTCTTTGTACTTCCATATTTATTAACTTTTATAAACAAGAAAACGTTTTTAAAACTGCAACATAACCTTAAAAGTTCACATGTAAAATCTGACAGATCATTTTGACAGTTCGTGAAGTTGGCAACCAAAGGCAAAGTATTGCCACCACAAAATGTGTTGTTGTCAATCGTAGTTCGGGGTTTTCTATGGTTTAAGGTTATATTTTGCAATTCAACGTAATCTAGAAGAAACATTTATTAATTAAAATGGAAAATAAACACCAAAAAATGCCCAAGGTGGCAAAGGTAAGTTTAATCTATTTATTACCAAGACATTCCCCTAAAATATTATTTTTAGGTAAAAAATAAAGCGCCAGCAGAAATTCAAATTACTGCTGAACAACTTCTACGTGAAGCCAAAGAACGTGATTTGGAAATTTTACCGCCACCCCCAAAACAAAAAATATCTGATCCAGCTGAATTAGCAGACTACCAGCTACGTAGAAGAAAACAGTTTGAAGATAATATTCGTAAAAACAGAACAGTTATATCAAACTGGATTAAGTATGCTCAATGGGAAGAATCGCAGAAGGAAATTCAAAGAGCCAGATCAATTTACGAGAGAGCATTAGATGTAGATCACAGAAATATAACAATATGGCTAAAATACACAGAAATGGAAATGAGGAGTCGCCAAGTAAACCATGCAAGGAATTTGTGGGATCGAGCTGTTACCATATTACCTAGGGTTAATCAATTTTGGTATAAGTACACTTACATGGAGGAAATGTTGGAAAATATACCAGCAGCTAGAGCAGTGTTTGAAAGATGGATGGAATGGCAGCCAGATGAACAAGCTTGGCAAACCTATATTAACTTTGAGTTGAGATATAAAGAAATGGACAGAGCTAGAGAAATTTATGAAAGATTTGTTATTACACATCCAGAAGTAAAGCACTGGATCAAGTATGCAAGATTTGAAGAAAACCATTCATTTATTCATTCTGCCAGGCAAATTTTTGAAAGGGCTGTTCAGTTTTATGGAGACGATCATTTGGATGAGAAATTGTTCATTGCTTTTGCTAAATTTGAGGAGAATCAGAAAGAACATGATAGAGCCAGGGTTATTTATAAGTTTGCTTTAGATCACATTCCCAAGGAGCAGTCCAAAGAATTGTACAAACAGTACACTATACATGAAAAGAAATATGGGGATAGAAGTGGGATTGAAGAAGTTATTGTTTCTAAAAGGAAATTTCAGTATGAACAAGAAATATTGCAAAATCCTACAAACTATGATGCCTGGTTTGATTATATTAGATTAATTGAAGGTATTTTTTTAAAATTTGGTCTAATTTTTAATATTTTTTTAGAATTTTCTTGAGAAATATTTTAAAAATAAATGTTTCAATGCTTTGTAACTTAAAAATGTTAATTAAAAAAATAAAACTTTTTAAATACAATATAAGAATAAAAAATATTGTTATAAAAACTCATGCAACATGCACTTTCAAGATTGATTTAAATAATAGTAGTGTTTCCTAAATTTAATTTATCAAAATGATTTTTTTAACATATTCCTTTAAAAATATTAAAATAACTAATAATTTCTGAGTTTATTTATGTTATTTATTATGTTTTTGGTTAAAAAGTTTCTAAATATGGTTTATTTATTATTTTTTCAATAAGCATGTTCTTTTTGGATAATTTTTTGCATAATTAGCTAATTATAAAATAATTTGTTACAAAATTGCATAATTTTTAAATAAATTCTATTTCTTTTATAGGTGAAGGAGAAGTAGAAATTACAAGAGAAACCTATGAAAGAGCAATAGCAAACATCCCTCCCTCTAAAAACAAACAATTTTGGAGGAGATATATATACCTATGGATAAACTATGCTATTTTTGAGGAACTCGAAGCCCAAGACTATGAAAGGACAAGACAAGTATACAAAGCTTGTTTAGACTTACTACCTCACAAAGTATTCACATTTTCAAAAGTCTGGTTATTATATGCAAAATTCGAAATAAGACAAAAGAATTTAACCACTGCTAGAAAAGTATTGGGGATGTCCATTGGCATGTGCCCACGAGATAAACTGTTTAGAGGATACATTGAGTTGGAAATTCAGTTGAGAGAGTTTGATAGATGTAGAAGATTATATGAGAAGTTTTTGGAATTTGGACCTGAAAATTGCGTTACATGGATGAAATTTGCTGAACTGGAAACATTGTTGGGTGATGTGGATAGAGCTAGAGCTATTTATGAGTTGGCAATTAACCAACCCAGGTTGGATATGCCAGAGCTCTTATGGAAAGCTTATATTGACTTTGAAATATCACAGGAAGAACCTGATCATGCCAGGCAATTGTACGAGAGATTACTTGAACGAACAAACCATGTGAAAGTCTGGTTATCTTATGCCAAATTTGAATTCAACAACCATTCAGAAGATGAGATAAATATAGGTCTAGCAAGAAGGGTGTTTGAAAGAGCTAATGAAACACTAAAATCTTGTGTAGATAAAGAATCCAGAGTGCTTCTTTTAGAAAACTGGAAGGAGTTTGAAAACACCCATGGTGATAATGTTAATAAAGAAAAAGTTAATTCCAAAATGCCAAGGAGAATCAAGAAAAGACAGAAGGTTATTGATGAAGATGGATTTGAGCAAGGTTGGGAGGAAGTGTTTGATTACATCTTTCCAGAAGATGAAGCTAGCAGGCCTAATTTGAAACTGCTTGCTGCTGCCAAAAACTGGAAGAAAAAAGCTGCTGATGATGAACCTTCAGAAAGTGATAAATCAGCAGAAAGAGAGTCATGATGACATTTTGTTATTGTTTTAAGTTATTTTTAGTAATAATTAAAACCATTTTTTAATCAAACCAATTTATTTTAATTATGAATTGTAAATAACTTGAGATGACATGTCTTATTTAAAGTTATTCTTTCCATTTCGTTTTTAGAAAATTAAAAAATAAGTTAATGTTTTTATTTAACATTAATAAATAAAAAATGCATTTTGTTTTTTGTCAATGGTGACATAATAAAAAAGCAGTTCTACAAAAAAATCTTAAAAAAGACAAAACAATGTTTAATATTGTGTGAAATATTTTATAAACACCTAAAATATGTATTTAACCTTTAATTCAACAGCAGGTAGGTGTGTATACAATATATTTACTTATTTACAAGGTAAAGTTAGGATTTCCAAAAGTTGGGATTTTGTTGCAATCTTCTTTCAAAGTTGGTGTACCAATTTTGTACAGTTGATAGAGGTACATAGGTTGCTGTGGGGTCTGGAATCATATTTGTTTGAGATATGGAATAACTAAGAACATAATTCATAAAATTTTCCAACATTTTCTGGGCAAATGTTAAATTTGATAGAGTATTGTTTGGAGAGGGTATTTCTTGTAAATTTGAGAGAGGTTCTAAAACAAAATATTCCAGTATAATAAAAAGCAACAAAACTTTAAAAAATGTCTCATTAAAAATTGTAAAAGTATTGGGTTGTACATTATTAATAAAACATAATACTTACCAACAGATATTCCTAGTTGAGCATTATGAACTATATGACTTTGTCCAAACATTAAGTTTGAAAACTGGCCCAAATCCTCAAGTTTCTTAAAATTTGATACTTTAAAAATAACAGATGGTTTACTGTTGGAAATATAGCCTAAAGGTTGCCAGTTTGGTGGTGCATTTGGATCAGGCCAGCTAAAATAAACTAAGTAATTTTTTTATGTAAAACTTGAACGTAGTTACTAAACTTACCTTGTCCACCCATTCCTTCGGGAAAAGGCACTGCACCAGTTAAAAAAACAACGATGTGATTAATATTATCTGCATCTTGAATTGTAGTTACAAATTGTCTTTCTGATATTGGTTGAAATTCTGTTTGAACCTAAAAGAATTATAACTTTATTTTTGAAAAAAATATTTTAATTCCCTCTTACTAATCGCCCAGAAACAATGACCCCAAACATGGCCATTTTTAAAAATTAACTTTTTCTAGAATTAATACTCAAATGTTTGGTAGGTTAGAATTCGGAATTGTCATCATTGACTCATCAAACAAAAAGTCCCTAGATTTGACGTGTTTACCAAAACAAAAGTTTCAGTTTTCTGGAAAAAGTAACTAAATCGCCGTAGCCATGTTTGCACGCGATTGTTTTCTTAAAACAGTGAAATTTTATTAAATGAATTGTTTTCATAAACAATGGTAAGTTATTAACATTTTTAAGTAATTATTTCTTTTGAAAGTGGCATTATCTCTGTTCCTTTAATAATTGTTAATGTATAATACCTATACCCAGTTGTTATAAACAACAAATTTATAACAAAACAATACCAAGGTACCTGGTTTTATTTTAATTAAACATATTGAAAAAACAACAAAGGTAATGAAGCATTATAATAATTATTATTGTTTTATTTCATTAAAATTACTTCAGTCACACCCCGCGGGTTTAACACAAATACAAAATCAATATCTAACAGCTGAACAGGCACCTGTAAAGTATGCTTTTTTATGGAAATTTTTTTGTTGCTTTCTTTTGTTGTTTTTTACTACAACCTTGATGTACACCAACTAATTTTTAAACGCATTTATACTCAGTTTAGTACAGTATTTAGAATGAGTGGTAGATTGTGGAGAAATATAGAGTTACACCCTGTGATGGATAATTTTAATTTCAGCATGTAGGATGTAATGTCGTTGCCGGTGTCCCAATATGAGGCCCTGCTTGCTGAGGTACGCGACTTGAGAAAAAAAGCTCAACGCGTCCAACAGCTTGCCAGGCCCCTCATAGATAGTGCAGACTATAGTTCACCATCTTCATCTGTTTTGGTAAGTTTTAAAAATTTACTGGAAATATGAATTTTTGTGAAGGGTTTCCACTTGACCTATTCTGCCTCACCAATCCAAACCCCCATAAATACAATAAAGGACAAAAGATCATTTTTATTGCTAAAAACAATAAAAATTATCTTTTGTCCTTTATTACTTAATACTGCAGATATGAGGGTTTAGCTTAGCATGGCAGTATTGTAATAAATCCAATTTTAGAATAGACTAAATCAATAGGGCTTTAAAAATAATAGATTATAGGTATAGGGTTTTTCTAATAATTGACATGTTGCGACGCGTCGCGACGTTTAATTTTGCAATTTGACACAATTTTGAAATAAATTTAATTACGATTTTTTTATAACTACACAGAAAAAATGGGACAAATAAACTGTGTAGCTAATACTTTTTATTAATAGTGAATATATTGTTTATTACCTCTAAATACCTCTAGTCGAAATAATAACGATAAATTTACTTTAGTAAAACTTTGTGTGTCAGGAATAAAAATATATCTAGGATAAATAAACAATGCTTCTGTCCCATATTTAATTATTCTTTTTATTTGGGAACCATAAACTTTTTTCTCAGTGTAGGTATTTATGTTATATAAAGTAAATCTAGATTTATTTTGATAATAAATAATAAAAAAAAATTTCCTTTAAGCAACCAACTTAAATAGTCAAATGCAAAGGCAATATTATTTTATGTAGATATGTACCTATACACCTAAGGCGATTTTTTAAAATTAAAAATCGCGCACAAATTAACTGCCAAGGAAAAAAAATCACCATCATACACAACGCGCCGCTGATTAAGATTTTTCCTTATGGGTATTTCCTTTCCCATGGGTGCGACAATGACACTGCGGTTTTCATGATAATAAAGTGTTTGTTTAGATATATCAAATTTTTCAGATTTAAATATATCAAGATGTATCTAAAAAATCAACTATTTTTTTTTAAGTACCTATATCGAAAACATGGTTTGGGGTGACAAAAAAAATTATTGTTAAAGTTTGAGTCCATAATCGGTCTATCATCGCAATTTTAATTTTTTTTTCCTCAGCAAGCTTTTGTCTCAGAACTCCCAAACTATTGAGTTTAAAAAAATTGACTCTATTGAATTATTTTTTTAAATAAAATTAAATGCTCTACAAAAAAGGTTAAAATTAAATTTTCCGTCAGATCATGCCTTAAAAATTGGTATAGTTTTACATTTTGATCTATAACTTTGGAATTTTGTAATTCATGTAAAAATCAGTACCCAAAAAAATACCGATGAATATTCTTATAGGAAATCAAATGCTTTACAAAAAAAGCCTCTTAACATTTTTGGATAAATTCACTCAATCAAAAGTTATTCAAAGTTAAAGTTGAAGTCAAAACGAAATTCTTGTTTTTTCCTCTGTAGATTTTTTTTTATGGGTGATAATTTGATTTTTTCTTTAAAAATGTGTATTATAACTAATTAACAATTTCCAATAAAAAACAACATGAATGTTATTATTTAAACGATTAAATAGGTAACAGTGAAAATAATATTTTCTAAAGAAAATAGCTTCTTAAAGCGAAAAAATTCTGTTATTTTTTTTTAATTTTCAGTAATTTTATCAATAACATAAAGATTATCATCGATAAAAGAATTAAAGTTTTTAACTGACCCAAAAAAAATCTAGAGCGGAAAAAAACAAGAATTTCGTTTTGACTTCAAATTTAACCTTGACGGAGTGAATTTAGCCAAAAATGTTAGGAAATTTTTTTGTAGAGCATTTGGTTTCCCATAAGCATATCTTTCGTTTTTTTTCCGAGTACCGATTTTTACATGAATTACAAAATTCCAAAGTTAAAAGATCAAATTGTAAAACTATACCAATTTTTAAGGCATGATTGTAAGATTCCAATCAAACCTTTTTTGTAAAACATTCAATTTTCTTCAAAAAATATTGTTAAGTTAATTTTCTTAAACTCAATGGTTTGGGAGTTCCGAGACAAAAACTCGCCCAGGAAAAAAAATCTAAAATTGCGATGATAGACCTCTTAATATTAAAATTATGGACTCAAACTTTTACCATAATTTTTTTTTGTCACCACAAAGAATATTTTCGATATAGGTACTTTACAAAAAAAATAGTCGATTTTTTTGGCCCAGTCTAATCTTGATATACCTAGAGATGTAAAAAACGGTTTTTTTTTCAGATGTGAAAAAAAAAACATGAAAATAGACCTAGAAAAAAAACGATTTTTTTGTTTTTTTTTCAAAATGAAATATTGAAAGACTAAAAAATTAAAGGATAAAAATTTTTTTGTTGCGATTTTTCGGCTGTATCTTTGTTAAAAATGGTCGTATTGGAGCCGTAAAAAAAGCAATTTGAAGCTTGAAGTTTATAGTTTTGAGATTTTTAGATGAAAAACGTGCAACTCTCAATTTTAACGAATACCGTAATAATGCTTTCTTTTTTGGTCCACGGAATGTTCTATAAGAATTTGGTATTGTTTTTTGAAAAAAAAAATTCCATACTCTACATAAATTTGAAAAATCATGAAAAAAGTGCTTTTGGTAGCTTTTTGAAAAATCAAGCGCTGAATCAAAAATAGTATATATAGATAATTTTTGTAGGACCAAATCAAAACAAGCGCGGCCCTTATTCGTCAAATCGATGGTAGTGGCGCGTGCATAGCGCGAGACTGTATTTACATTTACTTAATTGTCATTTAGTGGCTAATTTTATTCCATGGAAACATAAAAATTTAGGCAAATGGGACTAATCTTGAAAAAAAACTAAAATGTGAAAAAAAACCATTTGAAAAAAAACAATGAAAAAAAACCTGAAAAAAAAACAAAAAAAACGGACCGTTTTTTCAAGTCGCATCTCTAGATATACCTACCTATTTAAATCTCAATACGTTAAATATACAAAAAATAGTATAAAAAATTAGATAACTTGTATAGAAAACTTTTTATAACGTCATGAATCGCGTAACGGGCGCTACATTGGAAAATCGGCAAATGCGACCAAGTTGGCTTCCAAACTTGATCATGTAAAATTTTGGATGAAAGCATGTAGTAATATTTTTTTTGTAAAACTTGAACAGTCCCCTCAAATAAGCACGTATTTTAAATGCACAAATATTGTATACTTTATTTTTTTTTTAAATTTTCAAAATGTAACGGGTGCGACATTTGAACTTTTGTATATATTCTTATATTCTTATTGAACTCTTCCGTATATATTCTTAAAGTTGACTTCTTAGCATTACAATGTACGAATACTTGATGAAATTACGTCGCAAGCAGTATGCACTGACATTCCAATGCGAATATCTTTTGATTGGTTAGAGTAATCGATAAATCCTAAGAGACCTTTTTTGTAGAGCGTTCAATTTCCGATAGACATAGTAAAATCTCAATTGTCGATAATTTTTTTTCAGTAAGTTACAAAATTCAGAACAGAAAAGTTATCTTTCTTAAAATTCTTCAATCTTTGACTTTGAATATCTCTTTAATAGTTAGATTGATCAAAAAAGTATAAGAGATCTTTTTTGTAGAACATTTAATTTTCTACAAATAACTCTTGGAGTTTTGCTGCATGATTAACGAATTATGAGATATGAATTTTTTGTAGGGGACTAAGAAAAATATGCAAAACTGTAATGAGGCGGATCTTCCCATCAAAGTTAAGAGCTCATCGTTGTTAAGCATGTTTTGAAGGTGCCCAGAAACCGATTTTTCAGTGGCAGAAGTCAAAATAAAAATAGTCGATTTTTTTGACCCACCCTATATATACAGGGTGGTCCAGGAATAATCTGAAAAATTTTAATGATCGATAGAGCCTGAAAAAACAATAAAAACAAACCCAACAACATTTTTCAAAAATACACACTAACACACTAATAGCCCTTCAAAGGCAAAAAACCGTTTTTTTTAAATAACTTTTAAACCATTAAACCGATTCTGCTCAAATTTTGTGTAGTTAAAATTTCTTACAAAAGGCCCAGCGGCGGAGATTTTGCCCCCATATTTCGACCCCAGGGTTGACCTCCCGGAAAGCTGCTTTAAGACTGAATCCCTCAAAGTCAAATATTCTTCATGACGACCACCAAAAACCTTATCATTACCGCCCGGTTCAAAAAAGAAGAGCCCAATTTTGTTCGAAAAATTGTATGGCGCTCCAGCACATTCAAGTGTTCGAGTGCTGCAATGGTGCGACAAAAATTTCCCGCAATGTTAGATTGGGCGTTTTGGGCCAATCTCTTGGCCGGCGAGATCGCCTGACCTCAACCTGTTAGAATACTAGAATACTTAGAATAGAGAAGAATTAATAGACAGGATACGAGATTAATGTAACTACACTACAAGTTGCACGGGCTGTCCAATTCCTTCTACGGCGCTGTCAAATGTGTTTGGATTCTGGGGGAATGCATTTTGAAAGTCTGATATAATTTGCTACAAGCTACTGTTACTGTTATAATTTGTTACTAAGTTACCGATTCAAGATAAAAATAAACTAGCGTCTAGTCATCGTGCAGTTGTTACTGATCCCGTCATATTTTTAGGTTGTTTTATTGTAACGTTGATTGAGGATTACAATCAACGTTTGTAATTCATAATTATAATTTAATCTTTATACACAGTGTTTTTGAAATTTTAAACTAAAATATTTCGAAACCACTGATCTGATGAAAAATTAACACAAAAGTTTTGCTTTTACATTAAAAAAGGATATAATAAATCTGATAAATCCAGTGGCGTCGAAAATATGAAGGTAAAATGGAAAACCCCCCCAAAATCTCCGCCACTGGGCCTTTTGTAGAAAATTTTCTTTATATTATCGACCGAAGCTTAACCTACACAAAATTTGAAAAAAATCGGTTTAATGGTTTAAAAATTATTTTGAAGGACTATATCTCCGTTAGTATGCATTTTTGAAAAATGTTTTTGGGTTTGTTTTTAATGTTTTTTCAGGCTCTATCGATCATTAAAATTTTTCAGATTAATCC